TTCAGATAAGTCAGAAAAACTCTTTAACCATAGTGGCAAAACATCACCAATCAGCATTGACAGCATTGGGTTGGATGAACCAAAAATCCTATTGTGTATAAAGCCATTTTCTACAGAATAAAGTCAAAGATGAAATTCAGATAATTTTTTTCATTAGCCAGCCCTTTTCTGCTGCACATCCGATATTAACTTCTTCTATGGAAGATAGAGCAAGAATTGGTTGCTTACTGAATTCTTGTTCATAATTTAAGAACCTCTAACCACAGAACCAGGGAGCCTCCGGTGGTGCAGCGAGTTAAACCGCTGAGCTGCTTAACTTGCTGACCAAAAGGTTGCGGTTCAAATCCGGGGAAAAGAGTGAGCTCCCGCTGTTAGCCCCAGCTTCTGCCAACCTAGCAGTTCAAAAATATGCAAATGTGAATAGATCAGTAGGTACCACTTCAGCAGGAAGGTAATGGTGGCCATGCAGTCATGCCGGCAACATGACCTTGGAAGCATCTACGGACAACGCCAACTCTTCGGCTTAGAAATGGAGATGAGCACCATCCTCCAGAGTCGGACAAGGGGAAAACTTTACCCAACCATAGAACTGGTGCCCATAATTTCACCTACCTTATAACTAGGAATTTTTTGGGTCGTCCAGTTGATTCCATGGTATACTTCCCTCAGAGGGTTGTGTTAGAGCAGGGGTCCTCAAACTTTTTACACAGAGGGTCAGGTCACAGTCCCTCAAACTGTTGAAGGGCTGGATTGTAATTTGAAAAAAGCATGAATGAATTCCTATCCACACTGCACATATCTTATTTGTAGTGCAAAAAAAAAAAACCCAAGTAAAAACAATACAATAATTAAAATGAAGAACAATTTTAACAAATATAAACTTATTAGTATTTCAATGGGAAGTGTGGGCCTGCTTTTGGCTGATGACATAGAATTGTTGTTGTTTTGTGCTTTCAAGTTATTCCAGACTTAGATAGACCCTGAGCAAGGCCTGGGTAAATGACCTTGGCGGGCTGTATCTGGCTCTCGGGCCTTAGTTTGAGGACCCCTGTGTTAGAGGATCCAACAAATTCCTAGAGATGATGCCTCTCTTGGAATCTCTTGGTCCACCAGTGCCACTGTGGTATGCTGGAACTAGAGGTCAGGGAATTTAATGGCGTTTGGTTGTGTCCATGGTTTCAGAAAACAGCAGACCAGCTTGGAATATTTATCCTGGTGATATAGGGTCTTACTGTGTTCATCTCCAAAGTTGTATTTTTTAAATTAAGTGCAAGGTTTGTTAGAGTATGTTATTCAGATATATTAGTGCCACTGATAAAAAGCACCTTTTTCCTATTGTATAATCATAGGGTTGGAAGAGACCTCTAAGGGCCATCCAGACCAACCTCCTGCCATGCAGGAACACACAAACAAAGCCCTCCCAAAAGATGGCAATCGAGCCTCTGCTTAAAACCCCCCAGAGAAGGAGACTCCACCACCCTCCAAGACAGCATATTCAACTGTCAAACAGCTCTTACCATCAGGAAGTAATTCCTAGTTTGTTCTATGTCCTACTTTCTGAAGCAGCAGAAAATAAGCTTGTACCCTCCCCAATGAGACATCTTTTCGTATAGACCTGTTTTCATCTAACACATGTTTTCAGCACATGCTTAATGTTCCTTGATTTTGTTTGCCCCCATCTCCAGCTTTATTACTGAAATATTTTAGCCAGTTTTGTTTGTAACTTGAAAGATGAAAGCTCATTGCAAGATAGGTACATTAAAATATATCATCTGAACAGTGGGCCATTCATTTATTTATCTCATGGGTGGATCCCTACTATACTGCCCCCAGATTTCTAAGAACAATGCCTTAGCTGTTGCTGTTACCCAGGGTTTGTAGGAGTGGCTAGCCACTAATCGGGTTATCAGATAAGTGGATTTTTCTTATTACTTGTTTTAAACCACGTTGCAGTTGGAGTGAATATTCTGAAAGTAACCAATGTATTCTCAATATGGAGCTTTCTCTCTTGTCTGTCTACATGGCCGTCCTTGCTCTTGGAATATACTTACCAGAGTTCCTTGTATATATGCTACTCATAAATTAAAATTATTAATATTACTTATTCATAAGGCTATTACATTCAATGCACACACAGACTTGTATACAAACATAGAAACTGCTATACTAATCTTTCCATATACATCCTAACAGCTTCAAATATATATTAATATTCACCACACAGTGGAGAAACTGAGGCAAAAGACTGACTTTCCTGGAGCCACCTGTCAATGTATAGCCAAAGCAAGGATTTGGCTTCAAACTCTTACATTTATATAGATAGCATTTACCAATGCACATTTTGGTGCCACAAATGCTAGCCCTGTTTCTGGATATATTTGATCTTCTGATTCAAAAATGGCACCAGTTTCCCCTGTCAGATTTAGTTTTTGAGATACAGAATATTAATGAAACCAAAATCACTGTTTGTTTGGGATGGCAACTACACAATCAATGCTAAAGTGCTCATGTAGACATCATTTCATTTGCTCATATATCTTGATCCAAGTGGGCCATATCCCCTCCAACGAACAGCAATTTAAACCCATTGCACATACTCTCTCCTATCATGTAAAGCAGAGCTTTGCAAACATTTTATGTTGATGACACGCTTTTTAGATATGCATTTCACAACACAGTAATTCAGTTTTCCTAGCAAACCTGGGGTTAAAACGACCCCTTGTAAGAGGCACATACCTATATTGGGGGTGCAACATCTCTGATGAAAACCTTTCATTTATATATATTTTAAAATATGGGATTTATTGCTTATTTCACATAGACTCAGAGGATATTTGTTATGTTCATGCAGCACACTACTGTGTCGCTACACACATGTTGTAAAGTCTGATGTAAAGCAGTGCATAAAGTCAGCCCCTTATATTCATGAATTCTGTTTCCACAGGTTCTCAACCATTCATGGCTTGAAAATAGTTTTTAAAATCCAGAAAGAAGTCCTTGATTTTGCCATATTATATAACGGATAACATTTTACCACTGTATATAGTGGGACTTACCTATCCATGGAGTTTGGCATCCACAGGGGATCCTGAACCCAAATCTCAGAAAATGGCAAGGGCCCACTGTCCATACTTGGGTGGAGCTATAAAAGAAATAATATAGTAAATATGGTCAGAGTCTCTTTCTACTTTCTCCTCCTTTCAAGTCACATCACGTTTTCTTCCTTTTATAAATTAAGAGTGAAAGCCTAGAGTCATTAATTCAGAAAAGCTAAAAATAAGATCCATTATCTGTAGAGGTGGTCAGGATGTTTTCCCTGCCCTCTCCCCCTCCCCTCCCTTTCCCTGCCCCACTGTATGAGCTGATATTTGAGTAAGTGGCAATCGATCTTCGTAATGTCTGGTTCTCATTTTTCAAAAACGAAAGGGCTGTGGCTTTAAGTAATCACTGGCTGCTTGTGCCAAGTGCTGGAGCTGCAGTGTCTGCCTCTGTGTTGGGGGAGAGACCAGTCGAAGAAGTACGGTTACTGTGTACAGCAGAATGAAGTCTGGCTGAGGGAGGCAGGGTCCCGAGGAACACTACCTAGGAGGGAGTTAAATGTGGCCTGACCAGTTTGGTTTGTGGCCCTGCCTGCCACCTGTACACTCCTGCCGCGTGGTGTGCGCAGGGGGCAGAGGAAGAGAAGCTGGAGCAGAGGCTCTGCAATGGGCTGCTCAAGCAGCAAAATGTGCCTGTATTCTCAGTGTGCTGCAAAAAAGGTAATTAGTATTTGTTTGGGAGTGCTCCGCTGGAACAGCGTCAAGGAGTTTTGAGCTGTGCTTTGCTGCAAGCAAGGTGAAAATGCTTCCAGCAGCAAGGGGACTTCTTGGAAGGCTGGATCTTGGGATCTCTGCAGTGTGGTTTTGTCCACAGCAGTGACCGCATCTTGGAAATAAAGGTTAGGTTGAAATACTGGCCGATACTAGATTTATGTGGGTGCTTCTTGAGTCTAATTAACTAAAACTCTTTAGTAGACAGGCTAGAGTACATTTGGTAGACTGGAAAGAAAACCCTACACAGTAGACTTTTACTTAACTGGCATCCATGGGGATTAGTAGATGCTGAATAAATGTTGTTTCTGGTTGAGAATTACTATTAAAATAGATCTAATTAATTCTATATCCCATATGATACCATAACATAAACTCTATGTTGATATGAATATTGAAATGCAGTAATTAAAAGTAAATAAAGGCAAATTTAACTTAATATAACACAGTTTTACTATATTATACATATATTTTAATGTTTATTCAAAGTATTATTTCTTTGATTCTTTGCCCGTTGCTTGAGAGTTCCAGTTAACTGAGAGTCTACTGTACTTCTCTCCTGTTTTGTAATATTTAAATTACAAGCTGGTTTTTGTGCTAACAACAAATGTTGTGTCACATACCCTGGGAGGGGGATGTGAACTTGGTATTTTCTTTAAAATTTTGATTCATTCAGAAACTTGTACCCTCTGGCTCTTAAATTTTGCATTGGGGTTTATCATCCCATAGAAAACTAAGCATTCACTGTTAAAGCTCATGTTTATCTTTGTTACAAAGTACATTACACTTAATGTTTATCTTTGTGTTATTTCCTCAAAGTTACAGAAGCGTGTGCCTTGGAGCCTAGAAAGTTTATTGAATACTAGTTAAACACTGTATATTATTCCTTGGAGTTCCTTTATTCATCTTTCAAATTAAAATACTAGGGACATTCAGTTAAAGAAATGTTTCAAGGACTTTATGCAACCAGTTTCAGGGGTGTTATTTAAACATCCCAGCTTCTTTGCTGCTTCCTGAACTCAGGGCCATCTGTGTTTTTCTAACATTGTCCTCAGTGATTCATATCTTGGCTTCTCTTTCCTTCCTCTTGTCTTTCTGCAGATACCCTGCAAGTTAATTATTGGTAAGTGTCATGTTTTCTGCTTGGGATGTTCATTAACGTGATGTGTCTCTTTGTTGTTTTTTCCACAGAGAGATGAACTGTTAAAGCAAAATAAAGATTTGCTACTGGATATTGTCAATGCTCGTGGAGATTACGGTAAGAGTATCTTAACTTGTGTTGCCTTTCATTTCAAAATAAAATAAAGGAAATGCAGCATCAAAACTGACTTAAGAGACCATAGGTCATAGTATCGAATCACTTCAATCTAATTCCCTGACTACATTCTATCCAAACATTTTTGATGTACATTTCTTTGAAGTCTCAACTGTGTGACCCTGAACTTATTTCCATTCCTGGCACCAACTTGACTAAGATGCATCTCTGAAAAAAAATGTATCTGATGCCCATGCATGCTCAAAAAATATTGCATTTTATTCATTGCAATATAGCACCCTGAGATTTGTGAGATGACGGACTTGAAATGCTTGATAGAGAAAAAGAAAAGTCTCAGTAAACAGATTAAATGCTTCAAGTCAACATAATAGATGACCATGGTGTTTAAAATTATCTAAAATAACAAAATGCTGAAATTTGAAAAATGAAGGTATGCCTTTTGAGAGGGCAATAGAATGCTAACCTTTCAAATAGAAGCTGTTTATTATAAAATGGTCAAGAAAATGCAGTATTTATCAGTTCACATCTTGCCACAACTTATTAGAAGACTTTAGCTAAGGTTCTGGCCTTAGCTTCCCCTTCCTCTGTAATGTGGAGATAAGATTGGCCTAATTTAGTTTGAATTAGTGAGATCAGCTAAGGTATTCGACATCACTGGAGAAATGTACTATCTTAAAGTGACTAATTTTGAACCTGTGAAATACCATTAAAATACACACTTCATTTTCATTCCAGGTATATGAAAGCTTTTGTCCCCTCATTAACAGAATAATTAACCATGTTTTCAAAGCAGGATAGTTTTCTGTTTAATAGCCTGACTGGAGTTTTTTGGTGTGTGGTATATTATACTTTGAAACATATAGTTACCACTTCAATAATAACATGTTGCCCGCATGAAGTAATGGTTTGAGTGTTAGATTAGGTTGCAGAGAAACCAAGATTCAAATCCTCTTTCAATCGTGAAAACCCACTAGGTGACCTTAGGCAAATCACACTCTGTCAGCCTCAGAGGAAGGCAAAGGCAACCCCTTCTGAACAAATTCTGCCAAGAATATCCCATGATAGGGGGTTGCCTTAGAGCAGTGGTTCCCAACTTTGGGCCTCCAGATGTTTTGGACTTCAGCTCCCACAGTTCCTAACAGCTGGTAAATTGGCTGGGATTTCTGGGAGTTGAAGACCAAAATGCCTGGAGGCCCAAAGGTTGGGAACCACTGCCTTAGAGTCACACCATATCAACAATTACTTCAAGACACACAACAACAACAAAAGTGTTATCTATTAAAAGTTTGTAGTAGAATAGTAGAATTGGGAAAGACCACAAGAGTCATCCAGTCCAACCGCTTCCATGCAAAAATACGTAATCAGTGGGCTAGGTAAAGGGTTTTCTCTTTTGATCCATAAATCTCTCCATTTTGAAAATAAACGATATAAATTAGCATAATTTCTTAAAACCATCCTTGTAGCTAAACACACCTCCACTTTCGGACAAATGATCTCAGCTGGGTAAGTGTGAAATAGCAGGAAAGTAATTCTTAAAATACGGTAATTTGAAAGGGGCCATGTTCTCAGACAACTGCATTGTGATGTAGCGGTTTGAGCGTCTAACTACTTTGAAAACCAGGTTTCTATTCTCCATTTGGTCATGAAAACCCACTGGATATCTGTATGATATTATGGCCTTCATAGCATCAGAACAAGTACAAGTGCAAATTTGAGTTAGGCTGTTTTTGAGTTCAGCCGTTCTGACAAACAGCATGGTAGAATGGTTTGAGCTTGAATTATGAGCTGGAGACCAGAGCTTGGCCATGAAAATCTACTGGATAGCCTTGAGCAAGTCACACTATCTCAGTCTCAGAGGAAGGCAAAGGCAAACTCTCTCTGATCCAATCCTGCCAAGAAAACACTGTGATAGGTTTGACTAAGATAGAGATGAATGCTCAAATTCTCCTAATGTGCTTCATGGATCAGAGAAGCCTTGAATCAGGATATGATTTGTCCATCGTGTGTTGTGTTGTAGCCTACATAAGATACATAACTGTGATGGTACATGATGTATTTACAGTGATATCTTGACTTAAGAGTTTAATTTGTTCAGTGACTGAGCTTTTAATTCAAGATGCCCTTTTCTCAAAATAAATTTTCCAATTGAAATGCTATTAATCCATTCTGCCCCCTCCCCCCAATTTTGTTACATGTTTTTGAATAAGAAAATGAATGCACATTCACATGGAACAATACAAAAGAAAGATAAACTTTAAAGTGGTAGAAGCACAAAGCTATGGCAAGAAAGCACAAAGTGAAGAGGCAGAAGCATCATTTTCTTTATACTGTATTCATTCCAACCTCTCCCCCCTTGCTCTCTCTCCTTCTTTATGAAGCCAAACATACTAGAAATAAAAAAACCCACACAGAATCAACTAACCCAAAATTCCTCAAAGCAGACAAGAGCAAAGCAGACAGCAATCTCTCAAAGCAAACAATGGCACAGGACTGTACCCCTAATTCCCTAAAGCCCTATACTCTGGTTCTAGCGCTCCCTCTGGCTCTAGTGCTTAACTCAAAATGCTGGTTGTTTTGCCATTGCACTGCCCCATAATCTCAGATTCAATAAAACTGATTCTGGAAGGGCACATAATTTACTGAAGAGCATATGTAGACAAACAAACAGCATGATGAAAATAAGCTGTTACATGGCCTGAGGAACAAAACAGATCCTTTCCGCATCCCATATGTCTCAGGGGACAGGAAAAAATTCAGAGAAACGGCTGGAGCCATCATAGGCCATGCCTTCTAATCCCGACACAGCCAGGCAACCCAGAAGAATACCACTGACTATAATATCCAAAATATCTGTAAGGTCTTGGTTAATCCATAGGCTAAACTTTCAGTGCACTGGGTTGAAGTTCCAGGTTCATTTCCCAGTAAAGGCTGTTTTGACTGCCTGCCAGCTGTTTTGTTTTTTAAGCAAGATTTTAGGGATTGAATCTGAATCCTCATGTCTTTTCATAGAATCATAGACTCAAAGAGTTGGAAGAGACCTCATGGGCCATCCAGTCCAACCCCCTGCCAAGAAGCAGGAATATTGCATTCAAATCACCATCTCAGATTTACCATCTCAGATGTTTGAAGCAACCCCCTTCTTTAAAATGTTCAGCTTCCTAGTGGTTTTCACAAGGGATGACTTGTGAACAGAATGGAACTTCTCGTGTGCCATTCAGGTTGCTCTATTTTTTAAAATAATATTGAAAATACTTATGGTGCTTTCCAAATAGCATTGAAAATACCTATGGCGCTGCTTGTCCAACAGGAAGAAGTGTTAATTAAGTTCTTCATTAAAAAAAAAAGTTATTTCTGTCCTCCAGCAATCTCTTCTGCAGCCTGCGAGAAATTGGAGAAAGATCTAAATGATCAACATGCTTCTTATGAAGAATTTGTGCAGAAGCTGTACCAGAAACACCAAAGTGATTTATCTGAACTGGAAGAGAGGCTAAAACAGTTCTATACCGCAGAATGCGAAAAGCTACAGACTATATGTCTTGAAGAAGCTGAAAAATATAAAGCACAGCTCCAGGAGCATGTAAGTGGGGCTGGAGTTTGACAGAGATTCTTCTGTGGGGTTCTTTGATCACAGTCTCACGCACTCCTTTCATTTGTTGTGGTTTAAATATAAAGGGTGGCATGCCCTTGTGTTTGAAGCATTTTCACTTTAGAGAGTGCTACTTTAATTTGAACTTTTCAACTATAGGAAATGCTTGTCTGTACCTCAGTTTCTTTTAATGAATGTGTGATTCCATCATGCTACTGACTTGACTTTTAATGAAATTGAGATCAAGCCTATCTCACAGAGGTCAAATCAATCTCATGTATTAGGATATTGAGCGGTTTTTAAATATTTATATCCATGAAGATTCAGGTTGTTCAGATAGCTATTAGTTCTGGAGGCAGAATATCTTGGGTGGGATCCCTAACAAAGTATTGTATCTGAATGCCCAATGTATTTTGTGTGCTGAGATATGCTAGGGATTAGCACCATTGTGCAAATGAAATTTCTTAGCATCCTTTCTTCAAATATTCCTAAAGCTTATTTTGCTTGCACTTTAGTGGTTACCCCATGACTGGCAGGAGGATCCGAAGGAATGTAAACTCAAGAATTTGATTCTGCTGTATATTTTTGAGCAAACTATTCCACTGGGAGCTGTATATTTTTATGAAAAATGGAAAAGAAAACGTATTTCCCACTGTAAATTAAGAACTTCCAATCACATTTTGTCCAAATTTGTTCTTCATCAGGTTGACAAGTTGAATATTGCACATGAAAACTTCAAGCTAGAACGTGAAACTTGCCATGCAGAAAAAATAGAAGAACTGAAGAGGAACTATGAATCCTCATTTTCTGGTAAATTGTAGTTTGTTTGGTTTTCCTGTCCTCCATGTGTTCATTTGTTTTTGAAAGTTCTTTTGCACTATTAAATAAATCTAGCATTATTATCATCTTGAGGGTTTGATAAGATGATTCCTCAGTACATAATATTTTCATTCTCAAAATGAAATTATCATTACTACACATACAGTGATACTGGATGATAGGCAAGCAGATATGCATAATGCTATTTTAAACGTTTTATTATTTATTTTAGAAAGGGGCAGTTCTAGCAAGAAACTTACATGCACACACATCTGAGGTTTTAAAATCAATTCGGAGTGATTTGATTATCAAAAGAAGTATACATTTATTACAAATGCATGTGTATATAGTAAATGTATAAATCTTAGAGAAACAAGTCAACACGGTTGCCCCCAAATGAACCAATTTTAAATGCTCAAGTGAGCAAATAGGAGTTAGCCAATAAGTCTAACAGGTATGTCTGTTGGGTAAGCTGTTGGGTGAGGCCTCGCATTCCAGAGTTAGGACATTGGCCCAGAAAATATCTTTTGTCGTGTAATTTTTCTGTGGCAAGAAGGTGCACTTCCAAAGCAAAGACTATGTGTGAGGGAGAGGCAATCCTGGATCCCAGATCATTTAGGCCTTTAAAAATGAACATCAGCATATTGTCTTTGCCCCCAAAACAGATAAGCAATCAGCTCAAGTTCTTTTAAAATTGTGGTTTTATTATTCCAGACAGTTTGGAACATCTTTAACCTAACATTTTGTTTCCAGTATACCTTCATGGGGAGGCCCCACAGAGAGTATTTCACAATAATCCAAACACGAGGTTACCGAAACATGAGTAATTTTTGTGGCTAAAAGCTAACTGGGTCCAGAAACTGCTCTAATTGGCACACCACAGATGAGTAAAGGGCTGTATCCCACCCAAACCCTGTGGTCAAGATGGATTAACAAGTATCCCCAGTCTCTTTGAAGGGAGTGCAGCTGCATTCAGAAGAGGCTGTCTTCCTCATTGCAGAGCATTGCCCCATCAGTGTCATCTTGTCTTTTTAGCTCCCTATCCTTTGTGTTCCAAGCCCAGGTGCCGGAGGGTCCATTGCCTGCCTGCTTTCTCCCTTCTCCAGTTCTGAGAAGGCCTACCTCACAATGTCTCCATGGCAATGCTTGGGAAACAATGGGCGAGCTCTCTTTGTGCCCCCGCTTCCTTTTTTCTTGTTTTCCTTCTGCCCTTGCTCTCCCTCATACAACTTTCCTCTTCTTTTCCCCTTCTTCCTTCCTGTCCATTTTCTTTCTTCTCTCCCTTCCTTCGTTGCTCCTTTCTTCCTTTCCTTTCCTTTCCTTTCTCTTCCCTTTTTTCTTCCCCATACCTCATAGCTTTCCCCTTTTCCTTTACTTCCTCCTTTTGCTTTCTTCTCCCTCCCTTTCTTCCTTCTGTTTCGCTTACCTTGCTTTTCCCTTTTTTTTCTTTCCTTCACTCCTCATATACCTTTTCCCTTTCCCTCCCTCCCTCTTTCCTTTCTTCATTTCGGATCTTCCTTACTAACTTCCCCTCATACACATTACCTAGCCATAACCAGTGCTTTGTTCTTTTTCTTTTCTGGGACTTTATCTCCCATAGTTCCTAATAGCTGGTAAGATGGCTGGGGTTTCTGGGAGCTGAAGTTCAAAACACCTGGAGGAACAGTTTGAGAAGCACTGCACTAGAGTGAACAAAGACATTTCAGACCTGAGTGAAAGGAGATTAAAAAGATGATACTTGCAACTGAATAGTTAACACAAAACCTCCAAAGGAGTAGATACTAAAACTGCAATTATTTTTTAGAACTCAAGAACACCCACGAGTCACAGCTGAAAAAGCTTGAAGAATCTTTCAGCGAGAAACAAGTGGAGCTAGAGGTATGACGTTTCTTTTGCTAACTAGAGACAACTGTCAAACAACTTGCAAGAATCTATGTTGCTACAATTTTAGCATCCTTATTTTCCTTTTATATTTGTAACAGCTAGTCCGGCCACACCATACTTTCAGAATTGTGTAAGAAACCATACAGCTTTCTAGTTGGTCTTTGACAGTCACAGATTAAGCAATATCATTGAAGTAAGGCTTTTGCTTGAATGACTACACTACTTTCAGCATTTGATTATGTAATGCAAGGGTGATGAACAAATATTTCTTTTCAGATATTTATATTTCATTGCTCTTAAAAAGAAATCAGTGGTGAGGGATGATTAGAGCTTCAGTCACAAGAGCATATGGAGAGCCACATGTTCTGCTGACCTAACTTTTGACAGAGTAACAAATTTCAAAATAATGTACAGAAGATATATCTGCTAACCTTTAAAGGGATTGCTACAAAATGGGTTTAGGAATCTTGCTGTCCCATTTATAAGTAGATTTTCTTTCCTTTATCATTTTAATGTGATAACATTTCTTGACTTTACGTTAGAGAACACTGTCTTATCTTTGGCTGTATTTTATCTTGCAGAAAAAAATTGCTGACTTAAGGAGTGAAAATGATTCCTTGAATGAAAAGCTCAAACTGGAAGAGCAAAAACAAATAGCCAAAGAGAAAGCAAATATTGTACGTATGTATATATACACCTTTAAATTTACACCTGAATAATTATAGAACTCTTTTGCTGCAATCATATGTCTTCTGAAACATCTATCTAACATAAATATTTTATGTTGAAAATGTTTTCTGGGAGGCAAAGTATCAAACCAGATGTTAAATAAGAGATGAGCGTAGTATAGCTCTCATAGCTGTTTCTGAGGTCTCTAAGAGTCCACCTGCACCCCAAGTTTTGAAGAGATCTGTTTTTTTAAACAAAAGTTGATTTCTGGTTTACTTTCTGGTTAGTGAAAGATCTTTTGTGTCCTAGAAGAGGCCAACATGCTGAAATGTTTGTCTGCTTCTCGAGCCAAGAGAAGGAGGGGCTGCTTCCTCCCTTCTCCCCACCAATGAAATAGTTCAGCTGCTTCTTCCAGTGGGAGGAGCCGAGGCTCTGTCCTCCTTTTCTCAGCTGAGGAAAGAATGTATCTTATTCAATTGAGTGAAGAAACAGTGGGTTCTTCTCTGCTGAGGATCTTCCCTGTGAGAAGGGGAAACTGAGCTTCACATCAAATCTGGCACTTGGAGCTTTCAGGAGCTCAGTGCAGGCAGCCTGTACAAAATTTCACTCTTCCCTTCAGCTACTCTTCTTTTCACAACTTCCTCTATTTTCTGAGTCCAAAAATACAGCACTCAGTATTATCCGTGGTTTCACATAACCATTTGCAACTCTAATACTGGAATCATATTGTTTTTCTCTTAAAATATATCTCAGTTTTTGTTTTCAGAGCCTGAACCAGCTGAGAATATATAGATATTAGTTTGTGACTGTTGTTTCACTCCTTCATTTTAAGGTTTTGTCATAAGGAAAACCCTGACATGGTGGTAGCACTGGTGCTATAATATGCATACATATCGGTCCTGTTGTAGATTTATTGCTGTAACTATAATGGCTATCCCATATAAGACAGATAGTTTTATTTTAAAGACGTGTTATGTTTATTTGGCCATACAAATCTTTTGAATGTGAACTTCTAAATGGTTTGTGTAGCCAGTGAGTATTTTATAGACCAAAATCAAAATGTTTACAATAGTTGACATGTTGAAAACCCTCCCTAAAGTTCTCTGTTCATAATTTTTCAGAAAAACCCTCAGATCATGTATCTGGAACAAGAACTGGAAAGTCTGAAGGCAGTGTTGGAAATCAAAAATGAAAAACTGCATCAGCAAGATATCAAACTATTGAAAATGGAAAAACTGGTGAGGTTTCTACTGGAGCAATCATTTTCCAAAATGTTGATTTGTGCTGATAATACAAAAATAGGTTCAGTGGTTGTAACTTAAGTTACTAAGAAGTAAGCTTGGAACAGAGCACTAAATTTCCCTTAGTAAACTTTAACAAATTCAAAGAGCAAAGATAGTCTTAAAGGATGTTAGGTTTTTCAGCATAAAGTTGAATAGAGCTCTTACAACACAGCAGCTAAACAGAGTCTGAATTACTTTTGAATGTTACCCTCCCTTGATTTATGAGAGTGTTAATCAGCTGAGCTCTGATAAGAATTATACTAATTTTCATCAAGAAGCAAAAATGTTGTCAGCATTTCTCAGGGTTGTTTTTTTAAAAAATTTTTATAGAAATTACATTTCTATTCTCACCTCCACCCTATTTCCAAAGGAGAATATAAAATCTTTCTAGTAGTATACTTTTTGCCTACTCAGTTGGTCAGGATACTTAATTCTCTTAGTCAAGTCTGTGTTTAAAATGAGTGAGTATGCAGTGATCTGGAGAACTACATATATTGTTTAAAAGCTGCATTTTGCTGTTTTGTCAAGTTAGCATAAATCATATCAATCTGTCTCTTCACTCCTATATTAAATGGTTGATCATTCACCCAGTCAGCTCAGATTGTGTCCTTTGAAGGAAAGACAGGTCTTAAATCCAAGTGAGAAAAAATACTGTAGTAAGATATTTAACTAAATGCTGATAGGTTATAAGAGTGAGGAATGTGCTTTGAATAATTTCAGCGATTGAATTATGTGTGCTGCAGGAATGGGTGAAAGTATCTCGGTTTAACACGCACACACCTTAACTAAGAAGAGAACAAAAAGTACTACTAGTTATCCCAATAGCAAAAAATGAGGAAATATTACATAGCACAAAAGGAAAGAGGAGGAGCTGCTGCCCTCCCATTTCCTCAATCTTATATGTCGCTCCTCCACTTCATTAGAGCAGGGGGCAGCAAGAGGAAGCCAAATTTAGCAGGATGGCTTTTTCTCCTTTGGCCTTTTTATATGCCATCTTTTCCATGCCAAAGATTGGGGGGGGGGGGCTGCAGGTGGTTCTCCCTGAACACCAGCCCCCTATTTCCTCCCTTTTAGAATGCATATTCAGTTCTGTGTGGGAAATGGAAGATTGTAACATTTTAAGCTGTTTTATATGGTCTCACCTTTCTAGGTGTGGCAGCCAGACTTTCCCTCTCTCTCACATGTACTTGTGTTACTGAGGGACTGGGCAGAGCCCAAACATAAGAAGCAGAATGTAAATACTGGAGTCTAGGGCTCAGGTTGCAACCATATTAACATAAGGAATGTTTGGAATCTATGTTTGACAAAGGTTATGCAAAATTATTTTCTCTGTACAAGTTGTCTCCCTTGCAAGAAATGCTTAGAACAAGAAGTTTTTTGGATTGTGGATTTTTTTTTTTGGGGGGGGGGGGGTCCTGTATTTGCATATACATAGTGAATGAGGGAAAGGGGACCGATTATAAGTCCAACACTTGCTGAGCTTTTCCTCAAGGAGCTCTAACTCTACCACTTTAAGAAATTTAACAAGGGAAGAAAGGAGGGGAGGTGTGGGATGACTCTGCTTTTAAAAAGACATGCCAGGCGTTTCCCCAGCTGCCAACACACTTTCTGACCTTTTACTAAAGTAGCTAGGAAACGAGGGGAATACATGCACACCCCATGGATGTACCTTGTTCTCTGGGCTGGATACATGTAGCAGACAAAAGGGTGGTTCCCGTGGCCTGTTTCCTAGGCACCTGGCCCACCATGTACTGCCATTGGCCAACAGGGAGGTGGGCTCAGAAGTTGACCTTACAAACGCTGATGGGTTAGTCCGCCCATTTAAACCCAACACAGTAATCGCAGAAGTAGGTCAAGGAAAGAAGTAAAAAAAATCAGCATCAACACCTGCTGACAAGGAAGGCAAGAAATTAGACGCAATGGGGAAGAAAATCCATATGGCAGCAGACCTCATCACAAGAATGGCTCATTATGCAACATATATGAGCGCATACCAAACCTTTCTATGGAATAAAATGACATATTAACCTCTTGCCAGAAGAAGAACAATACCTACCAAGAGCATTTAATTCAGAAGCCCTCCTTTTGTCAAAATATCAAAAAGACTTCGCAAAACATCTAGCAGGGTCAGCAGGCAAGATGTTCGCAATTGCCACATCGACAAGATGACATGCTTGGTTAAGGGCCTCTGACCTTTCAGAAGAAGGAAGATCTTTGGCAGAAGAACTTCAGATGCATCAAGATGGGTTATTTAACCCAATAACTGACGAGAAACTAAAACACAATCAGGAAATGAAGAAAACCATCCAGATATATGGGTTTCCAAAATTGTTGTTTTCTTTATTTAAAAGACTTACTGTTTTTCATTTTTGGTTCTACAGTAGTAGGGCTAACTTCTATGTCTTACTGGTATGACTAAATATACAAATCTGGCAACCAAAAGCAAGAGGAGCCTTAAAAAAAGATAACTGACCACTGTCTAATACAGCTATACCTTGACTTTTGCTCGTTTTGAGACTGCTCTTAACTCAAAACACTCTTATCACAAAGTGAATTTCCTAACAGAAATGCATTAAAATGCTATTAATCCATTTTGCGCCCCTCATCCATTTTTATTACGTATTTTAAATAAGAAAATGTAAAAATGCCAATTCATATGGAACAATAAAAAAGAAAGATCAACTTTAAAATGGTAGAAGCACAAAGTTAAGAGGCAGAAATATGATTTTCTTCATACTTATTCCAACTTCTCCCCTCCCTCCCCTTTGCTCTCTCTCCCCCTCTATCTTCGTGAAGCCAAACAGGAATAAAAACCACATAAAATCAACTAACCCAAAATTCCTCAAAGCGGACAAGAGCAGAGCAGACAGCAATCTCCCAAAGTGGACAAAAGCACAAGGCAAGGAGGCTGCTCTCTTGAAGCCCTAACTTCCTGTACTCTTACACTAGCACTCTCTCTATTGCTAGCTCTTGTCTCAAAATGCTATTCTTACGTCAAAACAAAACCCAGGCCAAGCGATAGCTCTTAACTCAAAGACAATCTTAAGTTGGGATACTGTTAAGTAAAGGTTCCACTGTAATTCAAAATTTTTATCCACTTTAGCAAGATAAGCTTGAACCATGGTACCATTACACTGGATGTGTGGCAAAGTAGTTGCATCGTGACTGCCCTAGGCTCCTAAGTCTTAGGTACAGATGTGTGTATGTTAGGTCTACTGCTGATCTACTCAATCTTTTTGCTGTACTGACAAACAGTGTGTGGGATTTCAATATTTTGTGACTTTTGATTGGCATTTCTTAGGTGCACCCCCTCCCCCATTTCCCCAAATTGCTGTGTGGGGCTTTCTTTCCACTTCATGTTGACAGCAATCCTATTTAAGACATTTAATAGCCTAAGGTTACCCTGTGAACCTAGTAGCTGAATGGAAATGTTAAACTTTGACTACCTCAATCTAGGCTTGACATTATTCGGTACACTCCACTGGGTTTCACTTAAATACCTTGCAAGATGGTGGTTCTTCATTATGAACGGTTTACTTTTCCAGTTGAGAGGGAATCTGAGTTTGCCCAATGTTGTTCAAAATTGACCTGCATGAGACTTCATCAAAAAACATTAATATAGCACCTCTTTAAGGCTTAACAATTATGGTATATAATAACTTGTATTTCACTAGGTTATTTGGGGAGCTTTAACCTGGCTTTTCAATTTTTTCTAAGGTTATCTGGAAAATAGATATGTCACTGGAGCAGAAATACAATCCAATATTTTTTCTTAGTGAGCTAATGGCAAAAGACTGCTTGTTGAATAACAAACTAATTTTAAAAGCTTATGTTAGATTTGGGTGTCATTCAAGCATTTATCAGAATTGACATGCTACAGTCAGCTTGACTTGAACATGTGTAGTTAGTTACCTTACCTCTGTCTCCAATAAAAACATATCCAATTTGTGCATTTTATTCAAGGTGGAGTCCAACAATGCCTTGGTGGAAAAAACAAGAAAACTCCAGCAGGAGAATGAAGAACTGAAAGCTCGTATGGACAAGCACGTGGAGCTGTCCAGGTACTCTAGAAGATTTGTTTTAGTTGAGCTGTCTCTTAACAGCTGCAGTATATCTTATGCAGGGGAGGATGTAGAAGGTGAAGGACTAAGTTGAGTGAAAAGTTATGTTACATGCTTTGCTCAGCTTAATGTAACAGGGTGAAGCTTAAGATAAACATGAAATCCCACACTATAGATTGCATACATGGAGTCCCTCTGTGAGCACTACTCATCTTTATTTCAGTGAGACTTTCACATAAATCTTTTGAAATGACAGCATAAACAACCAGCTGCAGCTTATAAATGGTGGCAGATTTTGTCCCAGCAGAAAAGAGAGCATGTGTTTAAACTATATTACATTTGTGAAAGTACTTGCTCTAAAAACAGTAAAGTCTGTGTAGTAACATTTTCTAAATCACAAGATTTCACTTATAGTTGTTACCTTTTCCCTAAAAATAAAAATGTGGTGTTGGAAAAAAAGTTATTTTTGCATGGCCATCCCATCCTGTCAGCAGGAGGCACAGAGTCCCGTTGCTTCAGCACTCGAGATTTGAGAGATGGCAGCTTGGCATTGCCTTCCTCTTTAGTTATCTTTAAGGAAAGATATCCATTATACCTCTGATTAATAGTTGCCATCCATATCCGTGCCCTGCTCACCCCACCAGCTCAATAGATACCTTGAGCAATGATTAATCGATTTGCCCCAAATGGGAAAATAACTGTTTCCATTTGATGTTTGATGTTTTGTCTTATGTCTGTTATAACAGGCTGTGCTTTGTATTTAATTTTAGTTTGTTAAGTTATAATTCGTATTTATATGTTGGGTTGTATACATTTTGTTAGTATGGATGTATTGTTGTTGTATTCGGGCATTGAATCTTTGCCTTTTATGTTTGGAATCTTCCCTGAGTCCCTTTGGGGAGATAGAGCAGAATATAAATAAAGTATTATTATAATTATTATAATAATAATAATAATAATAATAATAATAATAATTATTATTATTATTATTATTATTATTATTATTATATCATGTCAGGGATAAGCAACTGTTGGAAGTTAGGGGGCTACATTACCCCTTTCCTAGAACTTTGCAAGGTCGCATACCATCACATTAAAAAGAAGCCAAACAGCTTGACTGGCAGATATCTGAGAGTCACTGCCTATATGAAGTAAATCACAGTTTGATTGTATGATCATTTTGCCCTCGTACTGTTAGGAATGCCAGCAGGAAACTGGGCTAGTGAGAAATAATCCAAAAGTATCTGCATGCTTTGGGGAATCCCAAGTTACGCAGAAACATAGAGTATTGGGGGGATCCCGAATGTGGAACCCCAAAACAACCTAGTGAAGGCTTGTCAAAAGCATAGAGTGCTGAGAAAAGAAAAATAAAATGAAACATTCTTGGGCTACTTACAGTTTATTGTAAACTAAACAAAGATCTGAGCGGTTATTGAACAGGAATATTTCTGTTCGACTAAAAACACATAGGTCAACATTCCTTTCCTGGCATAAGCTGGCATAACATTTTGTTTTTCTGGGTAAATATCTTTTGTCATTGTGGAAGAAGATATTGAATACTTCCTTGTACATTTTCCTGGTGAACTGCAGCTTGATGGCATCAGGCTGCACCTCCACAGTCAGTCAGCTGGGATGAATAGCGTGCTTCCAAGCACCACCTTGCCGTATAACTCCATCTGTTCAGTTGATTGGTATTTGAGGTTTGTCCCAGTATAGTTAAGATACTGTTCCAGAGGTGCAGCAGAAGTCTAAAAGGTTTGACCTTTAAACCCTACATGATTTGGGCCCAGGTTACATGTAGAATCGCCGTCTCCCATACAATCCACCCCTTAGACATGGAGAGCAGTTATTCCAACCACACAGAGCCCGACTGGCAACCATCACACAGAGGATGGTTTCATCACATGCCCCAAGACTGTGGAATGACCTGTCAGAAGAGCTCCGACAGCTAAATGAGCTGTTGGAATTCAGGACACAACTGAAGACCCTTCCCTTCCAGCAGGCCTACCTAGTCAGTGAAATTTAATCTGCGTTTCATTCAAGGATTTTAACTTGTATTTTAATTTTGTGTATCATGTTATATATGTTTTAATAGTGTTTTATCTCTTGCTTCAATGATGTATTCCTCCTCAAGCCAAAGAGAGAGGCAGTTGTTATTATTATTATTATTATTATTATTATTATTATTATTATTAAACAACTCTATCAGAGATATATGCTCCCCCACTAGTCCCTAAACAACATCTTCGCTATTGTAATATTTTGTGTAGATTCTACTTAGAACATACTAAATCCATAATGTCTCTTAATAGGCAACTGTCTACTGAACAAGCAGTTTTACAAGAGTCGCTTGAAAAGGAGTCTAAGGTGAATAAGCGACTTTCAATGGAGAATGAAGAACTTTTGTGGAAGCTACACAATGGAGACCTGTGCAGTCCAAAAAAGCTGTCCCCTAGCACTCCACCGACACCTTTCCAGTCACCAAGGAATTCCAGCTCTTTCTCCAGCCCACCCATTTCACCAAGATGAAACCACTCGGAAGATGGACTGTCCACAAAGGCATTTCATTAATGATTTGCAGAAACTAAATTCATGGATTGAGGGAGCAAAGATTTATACTAGTTAAATGTGACTGAATTATAACTGGAATCTACTGTTATGAGACATTACTGTAAATACTATAAATAAATACTATAAATAAAGTTCAGGAGCAGGATTCAAAACAGTGCTTCTGCGTGTTTTTAAAAAAACAGACTGAAGTAATATGTTGTTGCACAAAGCACTTAAAAGAGCAAGACTCTTCTTGTTCATTTTTGCCTTTTTCACCTAACTCTAGGGAGAGAAAAAATACTCAGGGGCTTATAAATAAAAGATCACAACCTTTAATACGTTCCTTCTTATAGAAACGTTCTTGAGACTCTGGGTCTGGCGTGAATGAATTGGATGTATCACACAAGAGCGTATGTCTGTTGCCGCTGCCTTCAGTATGTATATTGTAAAGGACAAAAGCTGAAGAATACAGCGACATGTACTTCATGAATAAAATACTGTCATAATGCATGTTCTATCAGTGGTTTCCCTTTACTGGGACTAAGGAACAACTGCCTCTTGTGCTACAAGTTCTTCCTTATCTATTTCCGTTAGTAAAAAGATGTTATTTGTGTTTGATTTTGTCACTGTTTGCCTATTTCATAGAAGAATTTTTAATAAGAGATAATCTCTTTAAACCGTAATATATTGCTAAAAATGTTTAGGCTACCCATTTAAATGGTAAGTTTATCCAAATTAGATGCCCCTCCCACATAAAATTCTTCCTTACCACCTATAAAATGAAACAATATAGTTGTAAAAAATTCAGACATGCACCCAATTTCAATGTCAGAACTGCAGAAAAGGGGTACTGCAGGTACTGCAGACATACAGATACTATTACTGTATAAAGAACTACAGCATGTGGAAATTGCCAATAATTTTTTCTCTCTTGCGTTTTGCAGAATAAACATCTTGAACTGATAGCTTACCAATATGCACTTTAATCTGTAAATGCTATGAGAGAGCCATAAGCAGTTCATATGTAGTGGATTTACCCACTCTTTCCAATTGGATGCAGGTTTCTGTATCCTCAATTTCATTTGTCAGGAGGCTTTCTTTCTGCCTTGAGTCATCAAAATTAAATTGGAGTATTTAGCTGAAGTGAAATGTTGATGATGGTCATGCCGTATGCATTACAAATTTAAAGAATACAGGGTGCATGTCTGCTTGTCCATACCCTGTTCATTTTGTTAAGATTTAGATTTAATTCCTTTGCTGTTGAGAAATCACCTTGTTAGTTAAAGGCAGCTGAGATATTGAGAAATATTAGCAGTGTCCTTTGCGCCTTCCATAAAACTGAAGGTTTTCTTTGCAAAATCTCCCTTAAGTTGGAAAACAAAATGTCAAACCATGTGTGTCTAGGATGCAAAAAATGTTAGCTGTAAAGGATTTTTTAAAAAACTATTCTGTTGTTAGGGAAGCAATACAGTAATACAAAAATTCAAAGATAAAATATTTTAATTTTCTATTGTATAAAGTGTGCCTCCCCTGTGGAATATTTTATTTGCCTGTACCTATTTATGGCAGTGTACATGCCACTGTAGCTAGAGATCTCAGCACTTCTGATTCAACTATTGTCCGGAGATTGATTGATATAACACCTGCTGTAGGTTGAAACCTGGCTTAAAAGTATGTCTTGGAGCAAATTATTTCTTTTACAAGTTCATATTTGTTCACATGTATTTGAGTGTTGAAAAATAAAATACTTTTTTACTGATTAAGACTCTTGTCTGAGAATAAAAATAAAATACTAATGGTCTAGTCCTTTTAAATCCTAAAAGGCTGTGCTTTTGCCTATGTCATAGATTGTATGCGAAACATTACTTCCAGCTTGAGTGATTTCTTAAAACAGATAAGGCTTCTGTTCAGATTGAACTTTTAATTGGAATTGACATTAGAATAGCAATTCCTAAACATGGTATTTGTCGATACTTGGCTTTTATTATTTGGAAAGACACAAAGGTCTCCTACCAAAATAACAACACTGCATATGCATCACCAGGACTATTAAACGGGATTTAAAGATTTAAACATGTGGTTGCAGTTTTTAACTGAATTCAATGGAGTCTCCTTTTGGAGACGAATTAATGGTAAAGAATGCCCTCCAGGTTTCATTCGATTCTTCAAGGGCAATAGGCTTTGGAGTGTATTTTAACGCACACTGTTGCACGGAGCGGTGTCCGCCTCAGCGGCACATAGAAGGTATTACAGCTGACCGTACATTTTGAGAATCCTTTCCCATGTTGGTGGCAGTATCATTATAGGCACAGGAGTTTGCCAACTCCACGGTCAACTTCTGGTGCAATAACAGGGCCACCATCCAAGTAATTAATTCATTGACTTCAAAATTAATTAGAATTATGAGAGTGGTTTGTTACTTTACACTCCACTACCTAAAACATAACATCTGATTTCGCGCATTTCACATCACAGGTACAAGTAATGCCTTAGCTGACACTCTGCCCCATATGCAGATGGAATTCTTCAGACAATTCGCGCCCAACACTGATGTCAGGCGGGAGACCATGCTGAACCATCTTTGGCAGGTTGGAACAAAGAGTTAGTCAGGAAAATAGCCCTAGCCCTGATACCAGCTTCCAAGAAGGACTACATCAAGATGGCCTAGGAATTCAAGGATTTCAGAAAGAAGTATATGATGAGATTGTGTCAGTTCCCTCTGAGCATGTTACTCAGTTTTGCATTCTACTTAGGAGATCAGGGCCAGCACTGCATACCATTCAGGCCAAGATGTCTGCGTTAGCCTTTTGGTTTAAAGCCCAGAGTTTGCCCAATGCCACAGATGAAGTTCATATTCGCAAACTGTTAGAGGGTTGCACTCGAGAGTACAGTAAGCCCCACGATACTAGAAAGCCCATTTCGCCAGGGATTTTGAAAGGTCTAAATAAGGTTTGGCATTTGGTCTGCTCATCCTCCTCATATGATTATATGAAATGAAGTCCATTCGTGCACATATGCTGGAACACTTCATTTAAATCTGGATTTGAATGCAGCATATGTCAGAAAGAAAAATGAAATAACAAACTTCAGATTTCTAAATATACCATAATCTCATTGGCCAGTGCTTCCTGAACTCTTTTTTCCTTGCTATGCCCATGTGGATTTTAAAAAAACTTATTTGCACTTCTGACCCTCTTCCCCCATTTTTCTCTTCTAAGACATTCATTGGATTTCAAGTTAATCTTGATTTAAATTCAGTAATTCTCTGTAACAACTTTACACAGCTTGACTATACAAATAGTGGGAAGCAAAAAACCATGACTAATCTGGAGATGATGAAATGAAGAGGACTTCCAGACAAGGCTTTTATGCTGGTCATTCTGCCTCATTAATCAATAGTTAATCAGCCTACCTCATTAACAGAATTTCATTTGGCCTCCAGATGTTGTTTTCAACTTGTAATCCCTTCTGCTTTCCACTAGCCCCTCCATTCTTTTATTTCCAAGAAACATCTTTTGAGGAAGAAAAGCAGAAATAGCTACAAACTGCTTTTTTGCTGGATGACTTCAGAGCCTCCCATCTGAAAGTGCCCCAAACTGCTGCAGACTTAATATTCATGGCTAGAATCATCTACAGCAGTTACAAATGTAGAGTTACACACTCATGACTCTTACGTATTCACTATCCCTAGACAGCCCCCTGATCACATAAACACAGTGAAAGTTCCCCAATCCCGAATTTCTGGGCAGCAGTCCCTGTGACCAACGAGGGTCTGTTCCTTTCGACTGGGAACCAACTGATATACATTATCACTGCCACTGGCATTAGTACTTGTGCCAACAGAAATGGCTCAAAGAAAGGGGTAGAAATGAGGCATCTATTTCCTGGTTAACACAGAAGTAAATTCCAGTTGCTTATATTAGATGCTTCCTAGTAAATGGAGATTAGGGGGAACGGGCTGGATTCACTGTGTAGCACTGTAACTATGGTGCTTATGCAGACATACCTCCCACTATATGCCCAGAACCCGGGTGTCGGAGGGCCTCCCCCCCCCCCCCCCGTTTGATTTTTCTTTCTCTTTTCGCTCATACCTTATCCACTTTCCTTTCTCTTCCTTCTTTTCCCTCCTTTTTCTTTCTTCCCCTTCTCCCCTTCCTTCCTTCCTTCCTTCTCCCTTTCTTTCTTTGCTCCTTTCTCCTCTCCTCCTTCTTTTCTTCTCCAGTTCTAAGAGGGCCTACCTTACAATATCTGCATAGCAGCATGGCTCTCTTTGGGGCTTTTTCCTTAGTTCATTTGTCCCTCCTTGCCCTCATACAGGTGTCACCTTTCTTTCCCAGTGACATAACAGAGGCCATTTCACCTAGCAACAGCTAATCCAGTGACATAACAGAGCTACTGAACTGTCACCTAGCAACAGCCTTTATGGTACAGACAGACAGACTGACACACATGCATACTTTGACTTTTATATAGACAGATAGAGATGGGAGATCAGCCAATTTCTTTAACCAGAGTGCACTTCTGGTCTCAGGCAAGGGTGGCTGTTGGATAGTTCTGTTTTCTTTCTACTGCCTGTCTTTTATAATCCTTCAAGAAACAATCCCTGTATTGCATTGCATTTTGTTTTTAAAGCAAGCTTTGCTTGTAAAAAGTAGATAAGGGCCTGTCCAAAACCATGTTATATAACAATGATATAATTTTTTGCTAGGGTAGTACAGCATCACAAACCTGTTTCTAAACATTGGAAGCAGTATTCTCAAATGTTGTTTCATTAAGCAATATGATTCAAACAGTGCAGCTTTTGATTTGTATCTTTCTGGATTTTGCAGGTTGATGAACCACTCAAGCTTCTCCAGATGACATTTTACAAAGAGCAGTTAGCTATCTTGTCTCCTATCAAAAATCTTCCAAGACAACAAACAGTTACTTCATTCTCTTAATTCTAACGGAAAATACATTTACATTAGTTCTTTATCAGTCCATTTAAATACTGTCTGAATGATGTTTTTCCTAAAATAGCCTTTTGTGGCTCAATTTGTTCAGCACATGACTTTCTACTGGTCCTGCAAAAAGGAGTACTTCTCTCATAAAAGAAGAATCAGCAAGAGAACATGCTAAAATACAAGGAAATCTATGAACACCAATTACATAAAATTTGCCAACTATTTTATTATGTGTACATGTATTAAAAATCAAGATTGCCATCAGCTGTGATGCTGATTGTAACAGTTTAGTAGTATATTTAGGATGATGCATTAATACACTATGGTTTTGACAGTAAATATAAACACTTCCATGCTAATACCTAATTCTGCTGAGGGAGGAAAGGAGTTAAGATAAAAGTTATATTTCTTACTGCTAAGATACGTACCCTTTTGTGAGTTAACATTGTACATTATTCTGTTTTTCCGTTCATGTATACACAATAAGCTAGACCAAAAAATGGTCTTAACATTCGATGAATTTGATTTAGACCTGATGACAGAAAGATTTATTGTAAGAACTCATGGCTTTAAATATATATGGATTCTTATTAGCACTGTGTATTGCTTCAGTATTCAAAGTAGGATAAAGACAATGGCTGAATTCATAAGTGGGCTTACGTCTGTGAGAAATATAAATGAGCAGTTTATTAACATCCATTCTCATCCAAGGGCTGCCATGATGTTATTAAGGATGGGCACCAATTGCAAAATGACAGCTAGTTGAGTGAGTGATGTGCACAGCCATGGTGTGTGATGAAATCTGGACACTGTGGATACTGGATAGAAAGTGCTAATGCACAGTAGGAGAACCCGATTGCCTGTGAGGAATGCCCAATGTACAAGGAGCATGAGAAATGTCTAATGTATACAGCAAGCGCCAATGGGAAGTGTCCAATGTGTATTAGAAGTGTCCAATGTGTATCAGAAATGCCCAATGTGCATCAGGAACATGCTTTGAGATACTCTTGCTGATGTCTGGATGCATGTCTTCAGAATCCACTAATGGTTTTACTGCATTTCTACAACACATTTGTAAAGTTACACAATATAGATCATGATGGAGAATCTTAGTCCTCAGCAATGTTTACGGTGGACCACCTCAAATAGGTCTGTTCACTTCTAAAATGAACACACATGGAAGAAGAGCAGATAATAAAACTAGAAAAGTGTTTGAGTTCCTTAAAGGCACTTATGTGAGTTCATGGTACAGCAAATTCTGGACTAGGGTTTTCCCATGCTGGACTTTCACCATCAGTCGCGCTCTTTAAAAACCACATGTTTGCTTGTCTATTACTCTGTGATACAAATCTAATATATTAAGATTCTGTTCCCAGTCATTTCCAGGTCGGCATTTAAAGCAAGCCAGAAGCAGTTCAATCCTTTTCAGGTTCAGTTTTTCTAACCTGAGAGCTCAGTATGTTAGATCAGTTCAATGTATGTAGCTAATGTGGTCTGGCCTCGAAGGTTTTGAGCTATACAAATGTAGTTCCCAGCATCAATGGTCTCAAAATCTTCAATGGTAATAACACTTTCAGAGATCCTTGTGGTGTGACCAATTCCTCTGTCGATCAGCCTCCAAGTATCTTGCATAATCACAGGTCTTTCATACTATTTTGGTAGAAAAAAAATAAAGAAAACGGTAACGGTGTTCAATTTTTTTGTAATACTTGATTTTATTCACAGGGTATTCTACTTGTGAACATATAATCTGTGTAGGAGTTTAATTTGAATTGCAGATCTATTAAAGAAAGTAGCCTCCTGTAAAACACTATCTCATTCATTAGTGTTTCGTACATGTGGTATAACCAATATCGACAAACTTTAATCTTTCAAAGGTGAGAAGGATCTCACAAGTATGAAGGGTCACAAGTGTGTTTCAAAAGAGAAACCATGACCAGTACCATCTTGGTTAATCCCAAGAAGAATATCATAGGTCTATTGTATGAATTGCTGAGAAGTGTACCAACGCATAGATAAATCCCATAGATTCTAAATGTCTGCACTAGTTCTGATTAACAACAAAATGTTTTAGCATTTTTGAGATCCGATAAATCTGTTAGAACACTCTGCACTCACACTTAATTTGTTAAGAATATATGCATGTCACTCCCTCACACTTACAAAACTAAAAATATTAAGCATGTCACTCCCTCACACATACAAAACTAGAATAGATTGTCCTGAAGAAAAGCAATCTGGATGTTTATCTATTGAAGAACAGATGCCCCAAACTCCCTGTTTTCTAACAGGTTATAAAACATTCTTGATAGTTATTTGAGTAACCTGTTCTTGGATCCTAAATGCAATCCTTTTAGTCATTTTCAAATAATCTGTCCCTTTTTTGTCATCTGAAATAGGGATGGGCAGTTTTCAGTCTTTAGGTCACACTTTCTATGTTTTTCCCAGGCTATGTGATAATAAAAATTAGGTCAACATGCAACATTATCCCCACACAATATATGTATACCCTCGAGACTATTCTGTCTGCAGCTAACAAACTTCCTTCGTCCGTTTCAAATGTCAAAGGTTAATTCCCAAGCTAGTTGTTGCATACATCATTCACTATTTGGGCTTTAGAGAAATAAAGAACAACAGCTTACCTCTTGCCCTGGATATACCCAGTTAAACTCCACTTCTACCTCTGGGTCTCCCAACACAGTGCACAAAACACTGACATCATCCCCACCTTCTGCATTATTGGATGATGCTTTAATTGTAGCTGAAGGCGGACCACTGGGAACTGGTGAAAAAGCATAGGTGAGATAAAATGAAAAGTTCAATATAAATTCTGGTGCCATTGCCAATTAAGAAAAAGAAGTCCACATGTTTTGTGACTTTTACTCAGAGATACAGGGATAGATTGATTAATTTGTTCTGTGACCGAGCTCTTAACCCAAGCTGCTCTTATTTCAAAGTGAATTTTCCCACTGAAATGCAATGAAATGATCTTAATCTGTTCCACCCACCCCCCTTTTTTGTTGCGTGTTTTTAAATAAGAAAATGTACTTTATAAATAACAAATAATCATGTATAATAATGCTCATATATAATGCTCATGTATAAATAAAAATGTAATGTTCGTTTGTGGGATTAACATAACTCAAAAACTACTGGACTAATTAACACCAAATATGGACACAATACACCTATCAGGCCAATGAGTAACCATCACTCATATAAACCCTGAAAAACACAGCAGAAGAGACTTTAAAAGCAAAAAAAACCCACATTGCAACGCATGCACAGAACCACATATATACACATATATACAAACATATACACACACAAAACACATATATATATAGACTGGGTCACAGCAATGCGTGGCAGGGGATGGCTAGTAATGTATAAATGCTCATGCAGCAAAGACCCACTGCACTCTCCATTCAATGACTGAAACCTAGATGAATGGGCACTCCCACTTTAGTTCATGCAGCAGAGTTCCACTGCATTCTCCATTCATTGCCTATAGCATAGCTGAATGGGCATTCCTCGTTCAGTTCATGTGGCTGAAGCCACCAGTACTTCCTGGCCCAGCATGTGTGCCAGAGGTTGATGTCACTCATAAGTCTAGAATGTCATATCTGTACTGTAGGCCAACTGAAAGGCAAAGGCTTACAACCCAAGCTATGCCCTGAAATATAGTGGCAAGGCATAAAGCCAATCTTGAAGTCTGAAACAAATTGAAGGCCTTGAAGTACACTGACAAAGACCCAAAATCTGCCTTGAGGCCTGAAACCAAATGGAGGCTTTCAAATACTGGCAAAATATAAAGTCTAACATGAGGCCTGAGACAAAATGGCGCCCAACAAATATACTGGCAGAGGCTTACTGCCCAACATGAGGCCTGACCAAACGGAGGTCTCCCAATATACTGGCCAAAGTGTAAAGCCGGACACAAAGACTGCAATAAAATGAGGGTCATGAAATATACTGAAAAAGGCTTAAAGCCTAACCTGAGGCCTAAATAAATGGCAGTTTTTCAATATACTAGCAAAGGCTCAAAGCCTGAACATGTGGCCTGTAACTAAATTGAGTCCTCCAAACATACTGGGCTTAAAGCTCAACATAAGAGGCCTGAAACAAAGTGACATCCAACAAATACACTGGAAAAGGCACAATGCCAAAAATGATGCCTGAATGCTGACCAAGGGCTGAAACCAAACAAAGCATCCAAATATATTGTCCAGAATTAAAGCCTAACATGAGGCCTGAAACAAAATAGGGGTCTCCCAACACACTGGCAAAATCTGAAAGCCTAATATGTGGCCAGCAACAAAATGGAGGAAGCTAGCTAGGATTACTGGGAGCCAAATTCCAAACCACACAGAGGGCCTAAGCCCACCCATGCCTGGCTTGAAGCCAAAAAGTAGGCTTCCAACAAATTGGGCCTTTCCCTAACTTGAGGCATGCCATAAAATATAGGTCTCAAGTACTGTAAAAGGGGGTGGGTGGGGGCATGGACAATGTGATACCATAATTAATTTATAGGATTAAATAAATAGAATTAATTCATGTACAGAACTGAGGCTGAGGCAATGTGACTCCCTCCAAATAATATCTTGAGCCTGAGTTGAAGAGTTTTACTAAAAACTAGCTTTCCCCTGCCACGCATTGCTGTGGCCCAGTCTGGTGATCTGGAAAATAAATTAATATGTTATATGTTATTTCTTTCTGCTTGTGGGTAAACAGTATTTCTTGCTGTTTCTTTTCCAATGTTGATGGGGAGATTATTTGGTTTGCCTACTCTGAAACATGCAACATATAATTGTCTTTCTTTAGGGGTCCTTTTCAAATCTAGGATACTATATCTGTGTGTGTGTGAATCATATATTTCTATCTATATCTATGGCTGAATAGCTCTTTGTCAGGAGGGCTCTGATTACGTTTTCTTGCTCTGGTGGAGGGAGTTGGACTCAATGGCCTTAAGTATTTTCTGTTAGTCATGGGTTCCTATGTGGGAAATTTGCCCCAATTGTGTCGTTGCTGGGGTTCAGAATGCTCTTTGGTTGTAGGTGAACTATTATTATTTTTTTGTTGTCACTTCTAGTGTGAGAGAATTGGTCGTCTGCAAGGACATTGCCCAGGGATGCCTGGATGATTTGATGTTTTGTCATCCTTGTGGGAGGCTTCTCTCATGTCCCCGAATGAGGAGCTGGAGCTGATAGAGGGAGCTCATCCGCCTCACCCCGGATTCAAACCTGCGACCTGTCGGTCTTCAGTCCTGCCGGCACAGGGGTTTAACCCGCTGCGCCACCCCAGTAACTACAACTCCCAAATGTCAAGGTCTATTTCCCCCAAACTCCATCTGTGTTCATATTTGGGCATATGGAATATTCATGCCAAGTTTGGTCCAGATCCATCATTGTTTGTGTCCGCAGTGCTCTCTGGATGTAGGTGAACTACAACTCCCAAACTCGAGGTCAGTGCCCACCAAACTCTTCTAATGTTTTCTGTTGGTCAGTCCTGTGGGCCATGTCTGGTTCAATTCCATCATTGGTGGAGTTCAGAATGCTCTTTGATTGTAAGTTAACTATAAATCCCAGCAACTACAACTCCCAAATAACAAAATCAATTTTTTGAGTGATGGTCACTCATTGGCCTGATAGGTGTATTGTGTCCAAATTTGGTGACAGTTCGTCGAGTGGTTTTTGAGTTATGCTAATCCCACAAACGAACATTACATTTTTATTTATATAGATGGGAATGTGCCTTCTCTGGGCCAACCCAACAATATCCGCTTGGTGCAACGATGCGGCTGCAACAAGAACTGTAGCAAAGTATGTGAATCTCCTATTTTGCACTCGGCCTGTGTGCAATCGAAACTACTCCTGAAACCACTTACACTGGATGGCAACCTATGCTATAATTGCTAGCTGACACAATGGAAATGCATGCCTGGCCTAAATGAAATGGTCGCTCCTCAGTGTTGGTAGAACAAGTTCTCTGAACAACATGGCTCCCTTACTTCCATGCAAGCTCTCTGTAAACCATGAGCCCAGGCCACAATAAAATGGACCAAGCTTGAGGTACCAGAAAATGGCCTGCCTACTACCAAGCAGGCTTCCTGCTAGCCATGAGCTTAGGCCTGAAATGAAAATGGCCATCATGTTAGTGGGGCAGAGAAGACAGAGAGGCCTGAATGGGGTGAAAAAGACAAGGCAAACCAACATAAAATGGCCGTCCACTACCACCAGAATTGGAAAGTTGAGGGAGCAAGGAGGACAAGCTCTAGTCTAAAATAAAGGCTAGACTCCTGCCCCTTTCCGCACATTGCAACACAAAGCAAATTATTAGTCATCTGAGAGAGAAATGCTCTAATTTCCCTGCCAATCACCAAACTGGAGGCCGCAGCCTGATCTCCTGTTTCTGCCAGGAGCCCAATATCCTGCTCCCAGTCTCATGCAGAGACAAAGCAGACTGACTGGGGGAGGGGGAGCAACCTCAGATAAGCTGGCTCCTTCAAGGGGTCCTTCAAGTCTGGTTCCTTCATGAGATTCTTCAAAAGCCCTCCCGCCCCTTAAACTTTGCTCAGCTGCAGATGGTGTATAAATGCACATACACATGGAACAATAAGAAAAGAAAAATCAACTTTCCGTTACAGTCTAGGTTTAGACTGTGTCATGGAACTGAAACAGCCTTGGTCTCCTTACTGGATGATCTATGTAGGCAACTTGATAGGGGAAGTTTGTGCCTGTTGGTTCTCTTGGACCTGTCAGTGGTCTTTGATACCATAGACCACGGTACCCTTCTGAGATGCCACATGGGAATGGGGCTTGGAGGCACTGTTCTGCAATGGATCCAATACTTCCTGGAGAGTCGTTGGAGGACTCCTGCACTACACTATAGCTAATTACTGTTTTGGGATAATTGTAACCAAATTACTTTTTTTACCTTGTCATATTCATCAATGTCTGCTACATTCTTTTCAAACTACACTGAAGGTACACAAAACAAAGGAAAGAATTTCCATCGTAAATTTATTTCAGTTTCTTAAATGTTTAACTGTGACCTGGTTGCCTTCCAATAGTCATCTGATTTCTGTTTTGAATTGTGCTCAACCATGGAAAATGGTTTCAGTGGTGCCTATCTCCTTACCCACCACTTCAGTGGTGCCTATCCCCTTACCCACCACTAACCATCTCAACTGGGCAACTAGCTCAAGGATGTTCTGATGGCATCTTCCCTAGAACACCAACTAAGTCCACTTTATTCTCACCATTTCCAATTAGGAACAGCAAGAGAAACTCACTGCAGACTGTAGTGGTTCGTCCAGTGCTGCCATATATTATTCCAGCATGCTTTTCTGGAGCTAGTTCAGCCCTGGAATGGAAATAGAATTCCCAACAAGGTTCCAAAGCTTGCCAAATACATAATTATCCAAAAAAGGGGAGGTGGGGCTGAACTATTGATTGAAAATAGCAAGGGCACTTTCAAAGGTCTGCCAAGTGCTCTGATTGTGTCCTTCTTAGGACTAGCAGTTTTGTTGTTCTGTATAGCAAAAATGTAACACGAAGCAAATTCACTCTTTCAGTAATGACATTTCTTATAATTTGCAAAATGACATAGGTCTTTGAAGTGCAGAAGTGCCTCCAGGTAAAGAAAATGTACTCTCTTGGGCATTTGAATTTCTTGAGGTATTTTAGCTCTTTGTAGGTTTGTTAATGTAATTTATGTAATTCCCTTTCCTTGTGGCAAACCAATCAACATACCACTATTCCCATCTTTACCTGATGAGAAGAACTAAACTGAAGTAATTGTTACAACCATTTCCAATTTATGCAGTTAATATATAATACCATGTACAGGCAGTCCTCAAGTTACAAACATCCAACTTACAAAAAACTCATAGTTAAGAACGGGGTGAGACAACAGAAAGCGAGAGAAATCTATACCTCAGAAGGGAAATCCACTCTCGAAAGAGGTGTTATCATGGGGGAAAGGTGTCTTCACTGAAGCTTTATCACCAATCCTTGTTTCCTGGCTGGAGTTACACTTAAAAAGTACCTTACATACAAATTCAGCTTAAGAACAAACCTATCAGACCTATCTTGTTCGTAACCTGAGGACTGCTTGTATAGTATATATGTACAAATCAACCTCATCTGTAAGTTGAAGACAGATCTTGGAATCAAAATTCTGAATTTTGATATGATCCATGGAAAAGTTGTGTGTCATTCCATGGATTGGAGAAAGCACCCCCCCCCCAAACATTCAAAAAGACTGGAAGCAGCACTTCAGCAGATAAATTTTTACTTATACATGAGTGTATAAGGCAAGTTACTTCGCCTTAATTTACCTTCAACATAAAGTAACTGGTACTTAATGGAAATCTGAGGAGCTCCTCGTGATTCAGCTCTGCAGTAAACAACTCCTTTCTGATCAGAGGTTGGGTGCTGATAGACAAAGCCCTTCTTAATGTCATAGATTATGTTGGTTCCATCCACTTTAATTTCTTCAGCTGGAAACTCTTGATGCAGAGTTACTTTTGCTGTCGGGCTGGTCACGCGGCAAGGAATCACTGCAGGTCTATCTGGGTTAAGGTAGACAACTTCAAAATAACTGGGAGATGGAACAAAAAGCTCCCCTTTATCTGTGTAAAGAAGCAATATAATGCATATTACATGTCAATGTGTTAAAGTTCTGATTCTGATATCTTAGCAATCATATCAACCATGAAATAAAAAGATTTATAACTACAATTCCAATGTCTGGGAACTAGATATTATCAACTTCAAAAATATTAAGATTTCTATTTTTCTTTATAATATGATCTGACAAACAAATAAAGCACAGGAAATTTTACGTAAAAAAAGGTTTGTTTATTTCAAGGTAGCTATGCTATTTCAAGCATTTTGACCATTCCTTCCTCAACATTTGTAACACACTTTGTTTGGTAAAATAAAATAAAATAATTACATTTATATAATCATGAAAGCATGATTTGGTGATGTTGTTGCTGTTGTGTGCTTTCAAGTCATTTCTACCATGGTAACCCATGGGATTTTCTTGCCAAGATGTATTCAGAGGGGATTTGCCTTTGTCCTTTAAGATTGAGAAAGTGTGACTTGTGCAAGATCACCCAATAGGTTTCCACAAGTGAGCAGATTTTAACCTAGTCCTAGTCCAACACTCAAACATTTATATAAGGGTCTTCAAACTACGGCCCGGGGGCCAAATACGGCCCTCCAAGGTCATTTACCCGGCCCTCGCTCAGGGTCAACTTAAGTATGTAATGACTTGAAAGCACACAACAACAACAACAATAACAATCCTATCTCATCAGCCAAAAGCAGACCCACACTTCCCAATGAAATACTAATAAGTTTATATTTGTTAAAATTGTTCTTCACTTTCATTATTGTATTGTTCTAAAGTGTTTTTTGAACTACAAATATGAAGCGTGCACTGTGCATAGGAATTCATTCTTTTTTTTTTTCAAATTATAATCCGGCCCTCCAACAGTTTGAGGGACTATGACCTGGCCCTCTGTTTAAAAAGTTTGTGGACTCCTGCTTTATACCATGCTACATTGCACATGTCTTGATCTAGCAATTACTTTCATACTTTCAGTTGCCACAAACACTATCCGTGGTTTGAACTAATTTTTGCTTATTATCTCCCTACTTGGTGTGCTGCTCATGTCATGCTGAAGTAAAACTTTGCCTCTCTCTCCCTCCCACAAATTGTCCTTTTCTCCTGCTTTATGGTTGAGGACTTCTGGGACTGCTATTTCTGAAGAAAACAGGACACACAGAAAAAACTCCCATTCTCCTACTATAAAACATAGTTTAACTAAACAAGTAGTAATTGTTATTAATTATGTAATGTGTTAGGTTATTAACAGTTTTTTATACTGTAGCATTGAATTTTTGCTGTTCTTATTTGTTGTGAACCGCTGTGAGTCGCCTTCGGGCTGAGAACAGCGGTATATAAGTAAGGTAAATAAATAAATAAAATAAGTATCCTCATTTTCTTCTAGAGAGGGACTTGGGGCACTTGCTTAAAATTTGCAAGTCTGAAAGTTCTGTTCTAAGTTTATTGACCTCAAAAACTCACAGGATCTTGACATGTACAAGGATACTGTGAAATAACTCCTCAAAAAATCCTCAAACATGATCTACATGTATAAATAATATTTTTCCCCTAATTGTAATGGGATTTCAACCTATCCAGTGTCCTAACACTGCAGTCATAAAAGAAGAGTAAATTGCCTTCCAATGTTGATATGAAAGATTTTTTTCAAATAGTTCATCAAGTGGGAACCAAGTACTCAAAGGAGAGCCTAATATATACAACATAATATCTAACATTTGCTGCACATCCTACAGAAATGTATCCACTATGTTTCTATTAAAAGATATTATTAATTTTAAAGCCCATGAAGTCCTTTCAGTTCTGAGCTTGTGACAAACAATGGGTTAACTGATTGAAGTAGGGCAAACCTGCTTCACAGAACTGACCTGGCTAATCTACTATAAATAATAATAATAATAATAATAATAATAATAATAATAATAATAACACAACATTATTTCTATTCCACCCTATCTTCCCATGGGGACTCAGGGCTGTTTGCAACGAACAGCGGTCAACATTCAATGCTATAAAGTGCAATCAGAAACATAAACAATCATAACTCAAAGTAAAACATACTAAACTTCAACATCAAGCAACAGTGAAACATTACAAAAAAATAGGTATGACATAACTAAATTTATGTTTTAACAAATAAACATTAAAGACATCTGATTGCTGTGAGTTTTCCAGGCTGTATGTCCATGTTGCAGAAGTATTCCCTCCTGACATTTCGCCTACACATATGGCAGGCATCCTCAGAGGTTGTGAGGTCTGAGGCCATACAGCCTGGAAAACTCACAGCAACCCAATCACAAAAGCCTTTGACAACAGATTAAACAACAATTTAAAAACTAAAGTAGCAGGCCATTTCCATATTCTGTTTCTGTTATGTTTGCGCCAGATGTTTCATGTGTCCTCCTCTCTGTATGCTTGTGAGCATAACAAGGTATGTAATTGTTTTTAAATAGAGTGCAAGGAGGTGGCCGTTTTGATCTTTTTAGGGAGGGAATTCCAGAGGTGGGAGGCAACCACAGAGAAGGCCCCCTCTCTTGTTCCCAAACATGTATCATTTTGTGACATAGGAATTCGGTTTTACTAGAAAACTGGAGGTTAAATCAGCACCTTATGAGAGATATACACAGTAATAATGAAATGTATGAAGACACAACATATCTCATAAAAACCTTTCATTTATTTTTTTAAGATATGATTTATTGCTTGTTTCATACAGACTCAGAGTTCTCATTGTGTTTGTGCAACACACCGCCACACTAATGTGTCAAGATACACAATTTGAAAAGCTCTGGTAGAGGGGAAAAATCAAAGTTGAGGATCCGGGATAACATATAATACTGAGATAGCAAAACAAACAAGCAAACAAACAAAAACTTTATGTGTTAAATAATTGTATTTGGAACCATTTCATTACCTGAAAAAAATATGTAAGTTGAACCTGTTTTTGATTCATCCTTCTTGCAACTGTACCCGTTGCAGACCAGTTGCCAACAACTGTATTCACCAGTGTCCGCTGCAGTAGAATTTCCCAGGGTCAGCTGACCATATTTGCCATGTTGCCTGATGCTAGTAAGAACAAAGACAAAGCACAAACAACCTTAGTTTTTGCTACTTTTTTACTCTCCTATTATTTTGTTCTATTATTTGATTTTCACCTCTATTTTGCTTACCAATCTTTGTCAGGTATCAAATGAAAAAGTGAAACAAAAACATTTTTTAAATGGCATGAGCTATGTTGATATTTTAGGATCAGTATCAGTCAGTCTTTAGGAGTATTTGTGTTTCCAGTAAGACTTCTAGGAACAGGCAGATGAGAAACTTCTCCTTGTATCTCTTTACAAAGTTCTATATAATCATTTCCATATCAGTGTTAACACACTTCCTGTCTCTTTCAAAGGAGCTTATCTTGTAAAACAAGTCATGCAATTATTTCAATCAGATTTCTATCAGTTTGGGGTTTTGTTTTTGTTTTTTTACTAAAAATGAATTTTATTTCAAAATTCAGTTCTATGACACACTAATTTGAGCTTTTAGCAAATCTGAGGTATAAATGACACTGGAAGATGTATGCAACCAAAAATATTCATCCTTCTTAACTGCTTCACAAACACTTTCAATTAAACATCACTGGTTATATATTGTTGATGATACTAATGAATGAATAATAAGAACAAGAACTACACTTACACCCTTGCAAGTGTCTTTGGAATCAAAAGGACAAACACCATAGTTCAATATGGGATTTGTTCACTTATATAAGGAATCTAAAGTAATATCAAGGGTAGGTGTCAATTTTGCATATGCTCTGGGTTTTATTGGAAGTGTTACTAGCACCCACAAGTGGCAACAACAGGGACAGTTTGTTTCTTTCAAATGTCTTCTGGCAAAACTTGAATATGAGATACCTATACTAAAAAAGAATCAATCTAGTATTTTATCTGATTTTTTTTTATTCCCAAGATCAGGGGGCTTGCCTGGTGTAGCTATGAGGATTATCTTTCACATAACCTTTATCTAAGCACCCGGTTGTAGAACTAGCACAAAGCTAAATACTTTGACTTTAATTTGTGGTTTTGATTTCTGCAGAATAAACTATAAGATGTTCAATGCCGAATATATACAACACTGAGAAGCATTTCCCCTAATTGGGCATTTTTATTCAACAAGTAAACAGTCTGGTAACTAGGGTTAGAGTGCTCACTGCATGAAACAAATTAAGGTCAGCCATTAATTTACTAACTCTGAACATCGAAGCCAGCTAGTAATCAATATCAGTTTCTCGATGAAGAATCTAATTTTTAAAAATCTACACAGCCATTCTGATTATGCCTGTAAATTAAAAGATGCACTGCAGATAACTTTAAACAACAGCAGCAGTTTATTTATTACTTTTCAAAGGAAGAGATATGTTAGTTTGTCACAGCATAAAAAGATTGTGCGAGAAGGAATCTAGCATCTTGAAAATGAACTAATCTCTTTTACCACAAGGTTTCATAATGTTAGTGAAGCCCTGATAACTGAATGACCCATGCCTGGCATATATGTGAACTGGAAAATATAGCTATGTTTCACAATTTCCTCTGTAAAAGAGAAAGTTACGAGTGGCATCCATCTACATTTAGATGTATCAGTTTTATATTTTTCAAAGACCTTGCACTATTATCTTAACATACTAAACAGATATGGGAACCTCTGAGTGTGATATTGTATAACTTTGGTTGCCATTAGTCCCACCAAGTACACCAATAATCAGGAATGATGAGAGAATTATATAATCCAACAACTTCTGGAGGACCACAGGTTTGCCTTTCCTGTTTTCAAAAGTAGTCTAAAAATTTCTAGTACAATGTTACAAATGTTGTGAAACCCTTCAGTTCCTTCTTACAGGCATCTGCATTTCTGTGTTATGTATGAACATACTTCTATTTGTTCATGAATCCTTTTGATAAGGTCAAGATCAATGCTACTCAAAGTGGTAGTCTGTTCGAAGTCTGTGTTTGCTGCCTGCCTGCAGCAAGTTTCCAGGAAAGAAAGAAGCTGTTGTACATAATGAATAGAAAAATGATATAAGTCCTTAGCACACTTGGAGAAAGACTCTGTCAGATCCCCAATTCAGGCAGTGTAAGACGCACTGGTTTAGACTATTACAGGTAAATTAGTACACAATTGTATTTCCTAATGATGGTGGATGAGATCCTGCATCATCTTGCATAGTTACAATATTTATTGACATAGCTATATGTCCCAATTCAATTCTTCAAAAACGACCTTAAGAGCCTGGCAGCCACACCAACCAAAGGAGTTTCAAGGGAATAGAACACTGAATGATAAGATATCCCATCCTATGTGTGTACCCCACTCCATTCCTTTCAGTTTGATGTAGTCATTATTACTGTTTTCTGGATTATGCTATTAGCATTTAAACCTCACTTTAAATGTCTTTATTTGTACTCTTCAAGTCTATTTTATTTTGTTCTCCAAAGTCAGATCAGAATTAGTTTTTTCCTAGTGAGAAAGCAGTGCTTCACATCCCTATACAATTACATGTCTCTATTAAAGACATAGAGAAGCAGATGTTGTGTATAAAGAATAAGGACAAATACTTATTTCTTTTAAGGTATAGATATTCCAAAATGTATTCCTTCCTGGCACAGTATTTGCTTACTTTGACTCCAAATTTTGAATTTTAAGATGTACAAAACAAAGCTCTTCCCCAAGCACATTTTAAAAAATTGATCTAACACCATTTGTTTATTTGTTTATTTCTAAAACAAATACTACCGAATTCCCTAAATACTTACTTAGAAGGGCTTAGAAAATATGTTATTTAAGAGGGGCTCATGTCCTCATCAGGGTGTGTTAGGCTGTAGTTTCAATGTGATAAGGGTTGCTCTTATCAAATTCCTGGTCCAAATCTATGTGAGACTCAAAATAAGAAACAGGTATTTCAAGTGCTAAATGTTGTTTCTTTCAGTAAATACTAACAGCCAGCTTAAGTAATTTAAAACAGTCTGTAACCCCCACTGATTAATCTGATGTATACACAACTGTCTAGGATTTAGTTTTTTGATTAAGATAGTCTAAATGACAGTAGTACAGTTCAGACGTTCTTGTGACACTAGCACAGGGCCAGATGGTCTGGGCGAGCTAGCATTACACACATACTACGGTATCTGCCAGGGATTAAATATTCTTCATAGCTCCTTGAAAATGTATGGCATAGGGTGCAAGTCCTTCATTTTTGCAACCTAGCAAAACATGACATCTAGCGGAAACTACTCCAATTGCTATCTTTGATACCTAATCTTTTAAAATACTCAAATGGATTCTTCCAGATTGGTCTAAAAAGATTGAGGACATTCAAGATCATTCCTTGGCATTTGCAAACTTTTAAGCACCATGGTGTCTGTTCATTCTATTTCTTTTGGAAGACACTTTATTGGATTTTTTTTTTTTTTGGATCTGTACTATTTTAACATATTGTAAAAAAAATTGGGGGCATAGCTTGTCAAGGTGATTCTATAGTCTTGAAAGCATATTTTCTCCTTTCCTTTAAAATCCCCCCTCCTACCGTTCAACTGCAAAAGTGGTATTTCACTGTTGTACTCAAATATCTCAACCTCCCAACATATTTGACCCATGTAAAGGAACCCAGTGAAACACCAACAGTGCAAGTATTTTGTATGAAAGCCATAGAGCAAGGAACGTCATATAAAGGAGTATTTGCTACACTCCTTTCTGTCAACTGCTCCCTTCTAGTTTTACTGCTGACTAACCGCCCTTCCAGACAAGCCCTATATCCCAGGATCTGATCCCAGATTATCTGGCAGTGCGAACTCATATAATCCAGTTTAAAGCAGAAAACCTGGGATCAGATCCTGAGATATAGGGCCTGATTGGAAGGGCCCTAAGTGGGAGGTAGCCCAGAAGCTTTGTGCTTAACTTAAGAAGAGTGTTTGCTTCCCAGACAGCACTGTGTAAAGTTCAGCTTGTTCTCCCTTTGCCTCCCCTTAAATAAATAGTCACATGGGCAAATAAGATATCTGGACTGTTGATTCCAGTAGTTGCTTTTGATAAACTTCATTAATCTAAAACTGAAAAGAAATTCAAACCACAAGAAAGCAAAATGCAATCAAGAAGAACAATTTAGCAAGATGGCGTCTACATATTACACGTTAGAATTCTACCTGTGTTTTCTATTGATGCTAAAAAAAACCTAGGCCTCATCTAAACAGCTACATAATCTGGCATAAGAAACGGGTTAGCCGGGGCTTTCAAGTGATGCTCCAGGCTAATCCATTTTAACGTGGAATAAACCTGGTCATGTAGGTTTCTTCCAGGTTTCAAAATACTTGCAGCGGTCTGGATCTAACCAGAAGATCTGGACTTTTGCAGGAATGGAGGCGGAGGGGATTGCCTCCTGGGCTCATATTGTGTTAGATACAGGTTGAAATGTGTGCAATTGGAACAATGGAAATGGTTTTCCCTTTTCCATTATCTCCTGCCCTTCCAACACCAGAAAATGATGGAGAGGGTAAAATAGACTGTTAAATAGGGTAAAATGTAATGTAGGTGAGTTTCTGCCCAAATTAGATTAAAATATCTTCAATAAGCAAATCATTTTAAATACAGGAGAAAGATCCTTGATTCAATTCTCTGTCTAAACTTAAGTTGACTAAAATTCCAAAGAGAATCCGAGGATGGCACAAATTTCTTGTAGACATTCTTTGCCAAATTTTCAATACACATGCTTCATATTTGAGGAGCTAATGTCTTTCTCCTCCTACAAATATCCTATGGGTCGTTTTCCTAAGTTATTGAAGCTACTTCTGCTACAATCACTTTTCTGGAGGCCCTCCTTTGTTTTAATTTTGTGGCATACTGATTGCTGATCTACTGGTGATATTCAAGCAACTGGGCCTTATGGACTCCGGCTGCTTTGAAATTCTGTATCAAGACGCTAAGATGCTGTGAGCAGTGAATGCTCACAAGTGATGAGACATTTTTGACAACAGCAAATTTCTGCTTGTTCACAGTATACTTCACAGAGACCCACAGAAGTAGAAAATTAGATTTTCAGTTTGTAATTATGAAATTGATATTGCATAGCTAGCATTAAAGCCAAGGAGCATAAAAAATCTACTTTGAAATGCTCAAATTGAAATAAGCTCTAATCACCACCAATGTAATTAGCAATTTCGCTTCAGCATTAGTAAAGGCTACAGAGGTGCTTAGCACTGAAAGGATTTATAATATTTCAACTGTCATATTAGTTACCGTCAGTCTATTTCTTTGAAACAAACACTTCCAGCTAATTGGCAGCTTGGATGTTACTTAATATATGTTGTAACCTTGCCCTATTTGAAGAACAGTTTCTCCTGCATGAAACCGATTATGTGTTATATCCAGCATTCAAGAGTTTGTCTTACATTCAAACATCTTTTGAATTACCCAGTTTATGACACTCCCAGCCTAAGAGGTTGAACTGGCCATTGATCAGTTTTGCAGAAGTAGATCTTTTAAATCCACTGGGCCTTTATAGATGCATTAAAATTCTGCTAATTATAGAGTGATGCAACATTTAACCCACTGCGCCCCCGGTGGCGCAATGGGTTAAACCCCTGTGCCGGCAGGACTGAAGGATGATAAAAACATCAAAAATCATCTGGATGTCCCCTGGGCAACGTCCTTGCAGACGGCCAATTCTCTCATACCAGAAGCGCCTTGCAGTTTCTCAAGTCGCTCCTGACACGATAAAAAAACCTGCATTTTTCTTTCTTTTCTTTTTTAAAAGGTAATCTTGACACCACCTTGGTGACCCATTGGGAAATTGAAAAATAGAAATTTTAAAATGTTCATTTTAAAATTGGCTTAAATTATTTTTAATTGAAGTATAACAATGTTATAGATTTTGTTCATTGAGAGCAAAGCGCCTGCATGCGATATTGGTTTCAGTGGAAGTATTAAGTGCATAGGATGAAGCTGAAAGACTATGCATAAAATGAACATGGTTTTAGTTCTGGGGAGATATATATATATATATATATATATATATATATATATATATATATATAGCAGAACAAGCCAAAATAATGCTTAGAATTTGTATTCAACATAAGACAATTATATCCTTTGTGGCTCTCCTTTTCAGGATAAGCTTTTGAAATTTAAGGAGACCACTCCGCAGAGAAAAAAGAATTCCTTATTAATGACCCTCTCTTAAAGAAACCCTCTATTTCTTCAGCTGGAAATATAAACAGGAGGTCAGATTTATAAAACTTATTGCAAATTTGGCAGATCTTGTGTTTTAAAAGACATTTAGAAATTCACCATCTGGATTTAAAATACAGAATCTACAGATAATTTAAGTATGGAAACTCATTATTTCAAAATTTGCCATTTCTTTTAAAATTTCATTTATGTTCTCAGCTAATGATTCTCATTTGTCAAAATATACTCTTATAGTCAGACATTCTGGCACTTCAGCAGACTACGTGTTTGAAACTGCACAAACATTCATGAAAAGTGAAGCCAGCTGTGTCTTTATACAGTATTTAATTCTCGGCAAGGTTGGTTGGCAAGCAAATTGTTTTACAGCTGCCATCTGCCATCTAGTGGTCTGATACACTACAGCTTCACCTAACTACAAAATAAAAGGATTTTTTTTTTCATAAATTTGTTGTGTGCTTTCAAAGCATTTCTGATTTTTGGGAAGACTAACATGAATTTATCATGGGTAAAGGGAACTCTATTGCAGAAACAGTGTAGTTTCTGCTGAGTGACACAAATGACTATGTAACTTACAAAGTAGCCCTTTTTGCTCTATTTGCAAAAAAGATCAAAAAGACAAAACTAGATAAAATTGTCATCAACTGCCGAGGAGACTCTAAGGGTTAACTGGACCTTCTCTCAAAATGTGCTTTAATTATTGTTAACTTGCATTGTTTTTGCTCTTTGTGGGAGCATGATTATGGTTTCTGTTTAGCATCTTTGGTGCCTGTTGCTCCACGGGTACTATTGTGCGCATGTGATGCTTTTGGCCTTGGGCCTGTACAATAAACGATTTTGATTTACTATAAAAACTTATCATGGGATTCTCTTGGGCAAAATTTGTTGGGAGCAGGATTGCATTTGCTTTTGTCTTGAGACAGAGAGAGTGTAATTTGTGCAAGCTCACCTGTGGGGTCTTATAGCCAAAAAAGAATTAGTACAGTTTCATATACTAACGTATATGAGCATATACCACAGAATAATAATAATAATAATAATAATAATAATAATAATAATAATAATAATAATAGGACTCCACCTCTCCTCACGGCTCAAGGCAAAGTACAACATTGTTAAAACACCCATATAAAATATAATACTATTAAAATACATGTATTAAAATTCACAGAATAATGCAGATGTCAAGCTGCATCAATTCTACAGTGTAGATACACCCCAACACTGTACCTAACAGTATTCTAGGATTGGTGATTTTCTCTCTTTACTTCTTTGAAGCCTCTAGATATTTTATCTCAGAACTCATGATCCTCCTGCCCCCAACAAAGCCATTTTGTCTGAATTTTGCAAGATGCCATATGCAATACATCCAGTTGATCTTAGTTTCTTCTCCTCATATATTGCCATATATTTTGCCTGAACAAGATAATTCAAATTTACTTCCTGTCTTTCTAATTCATGAAACCTTGAATGCAACTCTTTTAATCACCCCCTTGCAAAATTTTACCTGAGTCTAGAGTCTTTAAATGAGTCATGATAAGACGGATAGCTCCATCCAATTTTATTTCCTTTACAACGCAGTTCCACACTCTGACCTGCAGAGAGGCTCATAGTAGCAGCAGGCTTCTGAAAGCGGCCTTTGTCCATCACTTGTGTCATTATAGAATGAATCTTTGGAGAAACGTCTGTGGAATCTCTCTCCTTTAATTTGGGAATTTTGGGTTTCCCTTTTTTGTTAGCAGGTTTAATTCTGTTATCTCCTGGTTCCTTGGGGCGCTTGTTCTTTGCAGGCTGACCAAGAGCTATAATAAGAAGAAATACATACAACACAGTATCACTGACAATTTTCTACTACATTTTAAAAACCAACCAATCTGCCCATCCCACCCACTGAAAGGAATCAGGACTATCCATAGCCTGCTCATTTCTGTTAATTCAGCAAGGATGTTCAATTTTAAATTTTCATGGAGTCAAATTAGACATGCAAATATTCATTCACTATGTTCCTCAAAGGAAAGATGACAATTTCCTGTGATATCATTTATCTTTGCCAGAAGCTGCTCTTAGTCAGCACTCTTATATGAATATTCTTATATATGTGCTGACGAAATGCAGTTTTATAAAAAGCAGTAGAAAACTAGCTGAGATTATACAGTAAACTATGAAGGAAACTAAACTTAGACCTTTTAGTAGTACATTTACATCCTCTGAAATAGACTTTGGGATTAAAACTGTTGGTTATCTTTAATTCTTTTGAAGTAGGGCTGGCCTCTGCATTAGGCAAAGAGGTCACATCAAGCACCAGATTTGGGATTTCATGAAAGAATAGAATATCTTTAGTTATTAACCTAGTTTTATTGTATTCTTACTGCCAGTAACTGGGGGACTGCTAATGCAATTTTCTGCCTCATATGCCAAAATAATTTGGCTTGGCTTGGCTGGCAGTCCTCCTTAGCTTGGATGAGTGTATGTGAAAAAATTGCTGCTTTTCAGGGAGAAAAATGATGCGGATTACTCTTGTTTTGCAGAAAATAAGAGAACTAACCTTCCTATTAACAGCGCCTTCTATACAGCCAGATAAAATCCAGATTATCTGCTTTGCACTGGATTATATAATCCAGTTCAAAGCAAATAATGTGGATTTTCTGCTTTGATAATCTGGATTATATGGCAGTGTAGAAGGGCCCAGTATTATATTCATGGCAGTGAGGTTCCAGTCCTATCATTAGGCAAAATGGGGAATTACCTCAGGCAGAAATGCAAAGATGAATCCTCTCCTCTTTGAAGCATTTTCCTGTGAATCCAAACTTATATACATATATGAATGGAGAGGACCAATATACAGCAAGGGTACAATTCTGGTATTCACAGAGGGCCCTGGAACCAAATCCCAGTAGGTACTAAAAGCCTACTGTGTCCTTCCAAGATCAAGTGGGATTGCTCTTTTGGGCCTTTCTACACAGCCCTATATCCCAGAATATCAAGGCAGGGAATCCCACATGATCTGAGTATGGACTCAGATAACCCAGTTCAAAGCAGATATTGTGGGATTTTCTGCCCTGATATTCTGGGATATAGGGCTCTGTGGACGTGATATTCTGGGAGATAGGGCTCTGTGGATAGGCCCTTTGCCTGAAAACATCTACTTTTTTAAATAACAGTATAATCTGTGAAATAGCTGTTACAAATAATGAAGAAAACAATTAAGTATACAGATGATTATTATGATTCAGAAAAAGGGAGCTAGGAGTGATTAGACATGACCTATGAAGATGGAGATGTGCCACAATTGTTATATATATAAATTGAGCTTTGCTGGCTATGCGGATGAAATGAGGGAAGAGAAATTCAACTCTCTAGAGAAAAGACAAAATATAAAAAATGACTTCTTTCTTAATGTGTACCTCATGTACCTTGTTAATGCTAATGGGACCTGTTTTTGAAATGTGGGCAATTGTTAACTGTGTAAAATTAACCAGTGGTTAATTTTATTCCCCCACCTACCCACTACACTATGGGCACTTCCAGACAGGCCCTATACCCCAGGATCTGATCCCAGGTTTTGTTTATCCCAGATTATCTGGCAGTGGGGACTCATAAAATCCATATTAAAGCAGAAAACCTGTAGATCAGATCTTGGGATATTGGGCCTGTCTGGAAGGGCCCTATGAAACACGATTTTTGTTTCTGGGTTATACATTTCCCAATTGGTTCTATCATAAAAACATGAGGAAAGTTTATTAAACTTCAAAAACTTTGTTTTTAGAGGATATCCTGCAGCACATTTTGCTATAGTTTTTTTGATGAATATATTATCAAGTCTCAGCCAATTCAACATGTTTGTGGCAGGCACAAAAGTGAGGTTTCTGGAGTATAACAACTACTTTCAAAGTAAGTAACACAATTTAACAGGAATAACACTTTCAAACCAAGAACAAAATTTGTTACAAATTTTGTTACATAAAGATAAAGGTTTTCCCTTGACATTAAGCCTAGTCATGACCAACTCTGGAGAGTGGTGCTCATTTCAATTTCTAAGCTGAAGAGCTGGCATTGTCCACAAATGCTTCCTAGGTCATGTGGCTGGCATGACTACGTGGAGCACCGTTACCTTCCCACTGGAGCAGTACCTATTGATCTACTCACATTTGCATGTTTTCGAACTGCTAGGTTGGCAGAAGCTGGGGCTAACAGCGGGATCTCATCCTGCTCCCTGGATTCAAACTGCCAACCTTTCGGTCAGCAAGTTCAGCAGCTCAGCGGTTTAACCCACTAAGCCACCGGTTACATCGTGTAATGTATTATTATTATTATTATTATTATTATTATTATTACCACTACTACTATAATTATTAAAAACTGCAGTAGCCGATATGATATATTGGTCTGAGTATCGGGCTATGGTTTAAGGGCCCTTCCACGCAGCCATATAACCCAGAATATCAAGGCAGATAATCCTCAATATCTGCTTTGAATTGGGGCCCCTTCCATACAGCTGAATAAAATCCCACATTATCTGCTTTGAACTGGAATATATGGACTCAAGATAATCCACTTCAAAGCAGATAATGTGGAATTTTCTGCCTTGATATTCTGGGATATAGGGCTGTGTGGAAGGGCCCTGGGTTATTTGAGTCCACAGTGTCATATAACCCAGTTCAAAGCAGATAATGTGGGATTTTATACAGCTATGTGGAAGGGACCTTAGAGTCCCGGCTCAGCCACTGGGTGACCCTGGCAGGTCACACTCTCTCAGCCTTCAAGAAAGGGGGAGACAACAACCCCTTTTTGAACAAATCTTGCCAATGAATAACAAATTCTGAGATAACACATCTTGACAGGCTAGAGGACTTGAAGGCACACAACAACATATGAATGGAACAAAAATCTATCAAACTTTCAAAAACCTGGAAAAATAAAACGGTGTCAGGCGAGACGTGCCTCGGAGCCGTGCAGTCCTGTAATAACTAAATGGAAAAGGGGGAAAAAACAAACATAAGTGTCCAAATTCTCCAAATTCTTGAACGGGGTGGAGGAAGAGGCAGAGAAAGCAAACTCAATGTTCCTGAGGCCCCTTCCAGATGGCTGTACGTATAAAATCCACATAGAACTGGATTATATGGCAGTGTGGGTTCAGATAACCCAGTTCAAAGCAGATGTTGTGGATGATCTGCCTTGATATTCTGGATTAGATGGCTGTCTGAAAAGGCCCTGAGAGGCCTCCCTGCCAGGTAAAAAGGGGGAGAAGTCCCAGAATTTTTTTTATGAGGGAGAAGTGCCACAAATCACCTTACATTTTGGGAAGAGGAAGAGGAAGGAGAAGGGGAAGGGGAAGGGGTAGAAGGAGAAGGAGAAGAAGGGGAAGGAGAAGAAGGAGAAGGGGAAGGAGGAGGAGGAGGAGGAGGAGGAGGAGGAGGAGGAGGAGGAGAAGAAGAAGAAGAAGAAGAAGAAGAAGAAGAAGAAGAAGAAGAAAGAATCATTTCCAAAGGATGGATTTCTTTATCCCTCAAGGACTCCTCTTCCACACAGCTGAATAAAATACCACATTATCTGCTTTGAACTGGAATATATAGCAATATGGACTCAGATAACCCATTCAAAGCAGATATTTTGGGATTTTCCACCTTTATTCTGGGTTATAGAGCTGTGTGGAAGAGCCCAGGGATGGAGGAAAGAAGGCAAAGGGAGAGAGAAGAGAAATGCCACATCCATACATCCCTGACTGGACAAACTCACCATTTTGCAGCGTTTGCTGCAGCAAGAGAAGGCAGAGCAGGAGCCAGGGCTTCATGGCGGGAAAGGAGAAATAGAAGAGTCAGGCGCCGATTTTGGCAGGAAAAAGGGGAGCTGAGGAAAGGGTTTCCAAGTTCCTCCCTCCAAGAGGGAAAAAAGCCGGGCAAAGGATGCAGACTAACGGAATGGATGAAAGGGAGAGAGAAGGGGGGTAGCCTCTTCCTTTTTCCCGCCCTCAGCCTGAGGGATGTCCCTCAGCTGAGGGTCCAGAATGGCTCTCCCTTCACCTCACACTTATTCCAATTGTTGTTGGTTTTTTAGCATTAACGGGGTGTTTCTTGCTCCCTACAGCCTATGAGAAAGGGGGGAGATATCTTTCTCTGAAGGGGAGAGCTATCTTAAAAGGGGGGGATATCCTTTTCTCTGAAGGAGAGAGTTTATCTTAAAAGAGGGGAACATATATTTCCCTAAAGGAGAGAGCTATCTTAAAAGGGGGACATATTTTTCTCTGAAAGGGAGAGCTACCTTCAAAGGGGGAACATATAGAATCATAGAGACCTCATGGGCCATCCAGTTCAACCCCCTGCCAAGAATTAGGAATATTGCATTCAAAGCATCCCTGACAGATGGCCATCTAGCCTCTGTTTAAAAACCTCCAAAGAAGGAGCCTCCACCACACTCCAAGGCAGAGAGTTCCACTGCTGAACGGCTCTCACAGTCAGGAAGTTCTTTCTCATGTTCAGATGGAATCTCCTTTCTTGTAGTTTGAAGCCATTGTTCCGCATCCTAGTCTCCAGGGAAGCAGAAAACAAGCTTGCTCCTTCCTCCCTGTGACTTCCTCTCACATATTTTTATACATGGCTATCATATCTCCTCTCAGCCTTTTCTTCTTCAGGCTAAACATGCCTAAGCCGCTCCTCATAGGGCTTGTTCTCCAGACCCTTGATCGTTTTAGTCGCCCTCCTCTGGACACATTCCAGCTTGTCCACATCTCTCTTCAAATGTGGTGGCCAGAATTGGACACAATATTCCAGGTGTGGTCTAACCAAAGCAGAATAGAGGGGTAGCATGACTTCCCTGGACCTAGACACTATGCTCCTATTGATGTAGGCCAAAATCCCATTGGCTTTTTTTGCCGCCACATCACATTGTTGGCTCATGTTTAAGTTGTTATCCATGGGGACCCCAAGATCTTTTTCACACATACTGCTCTTGAGCCAGGCATTGTCCCCCATTCTGTATCTTTGCATTTCATTTTTTTCTCCCTAAGTGGAGTATCTTGCATTTGTCACTGTTGAACTTCATTTTATTAATTTTGGCCCATCTCTCTAATCTGTTAAGATTTCACTGAATCCAGGGGATAGCTATCTTTGTCTGAAGGGGAGAACTATCTTAAAAGGTGGGGGAATATATCCTTCCCTGAAGGGGAGAGCCATCTTAAAAGGGGGAGTGGGTATACCTTTCTCTGAAGGGGAGAGCTATCTTAAAAGGGGGAAATATCCCTTTCTCTGAATGAGAGTTATCTTAAAAGAGGGGAACATATATTTCCCTAAAGGAGAGAGCTATCTTAAAAGGGGGACATATTTTTCTCTGAAAGGGAGAGCTATCTCAAAAAGGGGGCATATCTTTTTCTGAAGGGGAGAGTTATTTTAAAAGTGGGGATATATCTTTCCCTAAAGGGGAGAGCTATCCTAAAAGGGGGAACATATATTTCCCTGAAGGAGAGAGCCAACTTAAAAGGGGGAATATACCTTTCTCTGAAGGGGAGAGCCATCTTAAAAGGGGGGAAAAGAGCTATCTTAAAGGGAGGGGGGATATACCTTTCTCAGAAGGGAGAGCTATCTTAAAGGGGGAGCATATCTTTCTCTGAAGGAGAGAGCAATCTTCAGAGGGGGACATATCTTTTTCTGAAGGGGAAAGCTATCTTCAAAGGGGGATATAGCTTTCTCTGAAGGGGAGAACTATGTTTAAAAGGGGCGAAAATATCTTTCTCTGAAGGGGAGGACTATCTCAAAAAGGGGGGAATATATCTTTCTCTGAGGGGAGAGCTATCTTAAAAGGGGGGGGCATATCTTTCTCTGAAGTGGAGCACTATCTTAAAAGAGGGAGACATGTCTTCCTCTGAAGGGGAGAGCTATCACCCCTCTTCAGAGAAAAATATCTCCCCCTTTTTTTATCCTAAAGTGAAGATGTACCCAGACAACATGTGGAAAACCCTTTGGTATAATTAGAAGAAGGCTTGCTCTGGTTCTACTGCTGTGAAGGATGTCATCAGGGACAACATGAAGCCTGGGGTGCAGCTGCACTGTCGAATTAACAGTCTGGCACCACTTTTAACTGCCATAGGAGTTGTAGCTTTACAAGGTCTTGAGCCCTCTCTGCCAAAAAATGCTGCAGCCTCACTAAATTGCAACACAGAATTGAGTCATAGTAAAGTGCTGTCAAACTGCATTCAAACTACAGTTCAGAGCAGAGATTTCCTAACATTTTGGTGATAGCCAAATTGTTTTTATTCATTACACTGTTTTGTTGTAAGTTTCCAACTTGTTCTCACCAAGAATTGGGAATCTGAAAGTTAGCTGGGCACGCAACATCACCCATTAGGTTTCCATGACTGTGTCAGGATTCAAACCTTGGTCTTCCACTCAGAAGGCTCAATATTGGGGTCATCATCTTTTCCTACCATCTATGCCATTACCAAGCATTATTAATTTTTCAGGATATGTCCAGAAAGGGATAGCCTAAATACCTGAAAGGCATCAGATCCTCTCTGATCACAGAAGCCAAGCCCTGGCTAACTGCTTCAAAAAAAAAAAAAAAAGCCAACACATTTTAACTTTTTTTTTAAAAAAACGTATAAAATATAATATATATTAAACATATATACTGTTTATGTTGCCAATGTCATCTTCTAAACTCCCTCAGGAGAAAATGTGGTTTATGTTATACTCTACTTTTCTGACTCTAATTTAAAAAAGCTTTAAAAAATAATCAGGTATTATATCCTATATTTCATGTATGAATAATCCTATCTGCAAAAGTCAAAACCACAAATGCAGAGGAATGACTGTACTGTTAAACACAGGGATAGTTGGCCAGAAACTGATTGAAAATTAAGAGGACTGTTCAAATTGCCAAATTAAATACACTTCCATAGGGAAGTGTATTTAATTCCAGAACGTGGAAATAACTACCATAGTTGTAAATAAACAGTTGCATCAACCCATAGTTTTTCCCTAATAGCTAAGATATAGCTAGTTTCATCAAATGATAAAATATGTGTAAAAATGACCATTAAGATTTTTGTTTTAAGGTTCCTGCAAAAAAAAAACTCCAATATTTATCACCGTGGACGTTGCATGAGTGTATCCCTTCCACTCTGGAAGTTAAAAATAAAAACTACACCACATGTAAACTTTTATACTTTATTTTAAAAAATATACAATAAATGCACATGCATTGTCATAAGCAACATTTTTCACAACGAACAGCACCAGTATAAATTTTTCTTGAAGTCTACAATAATAAATCACTGATGTTTTCTTGTAAAAGTCAAAAAGCCCAAAGCACCAAATATTTTATTTTTAAAAAATACATTTATGTACATTAATTTTTTAATAAAAAAATCTGATTTTTCTCTAGTAAAGTTTTAAACATCTTGAATAAATTTAAAAATGATTTCCCCCATTTATGTGCACAGCAAACATATACATGATAGCCATGATTACAATGAACAGTTATATCTATATAATTTATTACCTATAATGACATAGCCAAGGTAAGCACTTTTTAAGAACATTTTAACAATATCAAAGGACGCAAAAACATTTTTATGTGCTGTGACCTTCTACTATAGTTCCTCCATCCTAGGTTTGACATCCAAGTTTGACACCACTGCTGTAGAGCCAGTGTGGCATAATGGTTTGAGTGCTAAACTACAACTCTGGAGACTAAGGTCTGAATCCCATTTGGCCATGGAAACCCACTCACTGACCTTGGACAAATCAGGTGCTTTCAGTCCTAGAAAACCCCTGTGATGGACTTGTCTTAGGGTCACCATAAGTCAGAAACAATTTGAAGGCACACAACAAGAGTTCATAGCTTTCCTTAGTTGACAACAGAATTAGTCTGCCCAAGGTCCAGTTGTTGCAAGAGGAGAACTGTAAGCATATTTTATTTTCTTATTAAGATCACGGAGACATAAAGCTGCTAAGTGTTGGCTAATCCACACACTACTGCCAACCTTGAGCCAAAGGCTTTAGTTTGTCTAACTGCATAGAGACACTGGGTTGTTTTTCTAAAACATACAAAAATATTTGAGCAAAAATTACATCGAAGGGATGCTGAGGACACTGCTTCATTTGCTGCATCTGAAAAACAAACAGTGTAATCATGAACTGAATATACATTCAGTTCTAAAACACAAGTGATCATTTATCTAGATTGTAAAAACTAGCTATACTTAGGTTGAGCATTACAGAATTGTGAAAAAAAAGGACAACAGGAAGACAGGGATAATGCAAGAAAGAAAACATTGATGTTTCTACTGTTTGGGCATTGAGTAGTATGATTGTTAAACTCACAAGATTTTGTGTACTTGCAAACAAGTAAAATGGCATTTAATTTCGTGTTAAAACAAAATTGTTTGCTCACTCAGTTGTACAGCTTAGTTTGTAGATCTGGGTAAGTTATTCTAACTCTCGCCTGCTTCATAGGGTTGCAGTCAGATTAAATAAGAGAAACTATTCTGGCAGGGTCTCTTTTGGTCTTTCATGGGCTAAATGCAATCTTGGGCTAATTAGAATAAGTGGGTTCTCATCCAGATTACTCCAAGTAATAAAAAAGGCCTATTTCGTATATCACTTCTTTCAAGATAAAGGTATAAATATCTATTCCTTAATATCACCCAGATTTAGAAACGTTTTTTACATGTCAAAATTCCAAATTGGAAGATGTGAAATAACTTTAACATTCAGTCAGTGTTAAAATTGGTTTCTGCTACCTTTTTCCACACATATAAAGGGGCCTCTATAACTGTGGATGGGAAAGCTATGGGCCTGGAGAGAACATACATTGCCCGGAACCATTTTAAAATATTTCCTCAAGCCATAAGACTCCATGCAGCAGTATCTTCAAAATGTAACAAGAGACTCCACAGAAGAAATAGACAAAATGTGGCCAACCAAATGATTACAACTTCCATCATCCCTCACCACTGAAATGCTGGCTAGGGCTGATGGGAGTTACATTCAAACATCAGAATCTCAGTTTGGCCATTCTGTTCTACAGTAATGTCTCTGAAAGAAGTTTCTCTATCATTTGAACAGATTCCATCTTAAAGATGCCCATAATCCAAATCATGAATATTTTGCTGTGGGTGTATGGTTTTATCACTTATATACATTGATAGGTCCTTTGGTTGAGTTTCCATTGTTTGCAGCAGTTTCAGGAGTAATCAGCACTAACAAAGCTTTTTTAAAAAATTGGTTAAAATCTATACAAATGGTATCAATCTCTGAACTTTGCATTATTCACAATTTTAATAAAGTGAATGCTTTAAGAAACTATTGCAGTTATGTGTGCATATTTATATATATTTCAAATAGAATCACTATTCAGAGCAAGACATTAACTACTGCACTATTTTATTCATATTCCACAATGGCAGCAACCAAAACACTTTCTCTCTTATCATACTGTCCATTTAGAATTTTACATTTATTTCTATAAATGTTCTTTGACTGCATGCATAAAAACAGATGAAAATATAACTGTCCCTTAGCCTATCTTACATAAAAAAAACAAATGAAAATAGATCTTTGGAGTTGATGCCGTATCTGTGGTTCTTATTAAACCCAGTATTCCTGGGCTGGCTTCAGAAATGAAGTGAGGTAAAACAGAGAAGAGCAGTGCAACAGACTTGTTTTCTGTTTCCACTACAGTATTCATATTCACATTTGAGTAAGTGACTTGAAGGAACATAGATACCAACATATTGTGTCCTGTTAAAGTATCTGACTATTATTATAGTAACAGTTTAAGATAAATTAAATTTTAAAAATTTGGGGGGGGGGGGAATCCTGCCATTTTAACTTTAAATATGGTTTTCTAACCCCATAGTTGCAACGAAAAACTTAAAAGTTTCATCACACATGATCAGCAGGCATTTTACTTTTTTATTTCCACAGCATGGCAGAAGTATATGGGGAGATGTAATCAAAGAAAGAGAGACAATCGGAAACTTTTCTAAGCTCTATTTCATTCATTCCTACACTAGCCTATTTTCGTTATCTTTTCCCTAATCTTTTGCTACCAAGGCAGTCAGGCAACCAGGAGATTTGGGATATGTCATCAGGAGAGATTTTTCTTCTCAATAAAAGGGATAGAGACAGTATAATCACAGATTTCTTGTGAAAACCCCTATGCCGTTGCATTTTGTTATTGTCAATTGCGAGACAATACATACTTTTCCCTAATCAAACAAGGAGGAGGAAGCACATACAACTAAACGGTTTTGCTTCCTCTTTGGCTGGCTCATATAACATATATTGCCTCATAAAAGTACAGTTATGTGAGAACCAAATCCTGGACATGTATAGAATACTCCTTTATCGTAAGTGATGTGCAACAAATACAACTTGCCTGTTGGACACAGTATCAAGCTATGGGCCATAAATGTGAGTGAAAATATGCAATCCTGCAGTGATGATTAGTACTAAGTAAGGTGCCTACATCTATCACAAAATACATATATACAGCTTTACTTCAAAATGAGTTACTTTTTTGGCTTTCTTCCCCTCTCCAGCATGAAAAATATTCATTTTTAACATTCTGTAGAAAAATAATTAATATTAGTGCAGTTATGATTTTTTTTTTTTTTTTGTCGTGTCAGGAGCATCCTGTTGTGAGAGAATTGGCCGTCTGCAAGGACGTTGCCTAGGGGACGCCCGGATGCTTTTTGATGTTTTATCATCCTTGTGGGAGGCTTCTCTCATGTCCCCGCATGAGGAGCTGGAGCTGATAGAGGGAGCTCATCCGTCTCTCCCCGGATTCGAACCTGTGACCTGTCGGTCTTCAGTCCTGCCGGCACAGGGGTTTAACCCACTGCGCCACCGCAGTGGGTTAAATGTTATGATGAAATGGATAGAAATATTTGGTAGTTCCAGCAAGAAACAGGATATTTTGATAGACCATGATAGGCTTTACTGAGCAGAATACAAGATGTAGCAAATCTTGAGTTTGTACCTTTCCAGAGAAAATTAAAAACTTTTACTTCTGTTTTTGATAAAAGCGTAATTTAGTTATACTTGAACCCAAAACAACTTGCTCAAACAAGCCAGCTTCCTAAGTCATAATTTGGTTTTCTTTTTCAAAGAACCATAGTTAAGATGAACCACAATTTGTTACTTTCAAACAGATTGCTAGACCATTGTGTCCATAATATTATAATAAAGCAATTCTAGGTGGGAAGTTTAAAATTCCTTAGCACTATGAATTTATTTGGATGGCCAGAGATCTAACAATTGGGTATGCAGCAGTCAGTCAGCTGAGGATGTCGTTTTGTTGTTAAAGGCCTCTAGCAGGTATTGACAACTTAGACTGTTCATAATGTAGCAACATCACCAAACAATTCAACAGGTTAATCTGTACATAAGAAAGCCCCAAATTCCATTGATACATGCCATTTGCCTGTACTTAATTTTTTCTGTAATTCAGCAGCTATATTTACTTTCACTTGGAAAAAGACTGAATAAAAACATAATTTCAAATATAGAAATATATCCATTTGTTAATATTTACAAACACTGTTCTTGAACATAAGAATTTTCAGGAGGATATTCATGCTTTACATTACCTGCAGGTAAAAATGTAGCAATACTAAATGCATACCATTATTTCATAAAGACATACTATACAGCATTGCTAGTACATGCCAAAATGTCTCCGTTTTATATTCCCCAGCCCCTCCTTCCCACCTAATCGGCCTTATTTTGGAAAATTGTCAAGAATTAACATTTCTGTGAATGTAGAGCAGCAGAAGAAAGTCTACTTATGTGTGGCGATCTAAGACTACTACCACATTAAAAGAACAAATGCAAGAACGCAGGTCTTCCGCAACAAAATATTTAACTTCCAGGTTTAGATACTTTGAAGAAATTAATTACAATGTGTTCTTTGACTTGATGTTGTAGGATGTAAATAAGGAAATCCTGAAGATTTTTTAACAATGACAGACAAGTAAGATGTGCCCACTGGAAAGCTTCTTCCCTTCTACTTCCTTGGTAGTTTTACTTCAGAAACGCACATATGGACGATCTCAGTTGGATGAGATATCTAGCAGCCAGTCCAGATGATCTTTCATGTTTTCTAGCAGACGTTTTCATAAAGCAAAAGCAGATTACTGCTGGCAAGTTTTTAGCCGTTCCATTCCACCCCACCCCCAGCAACTAGATTGTGTGACAATTCATTGCTTGTAAAGCATACACAACATGGCAGTTGGCAAACTATTAGCATTCACTTGTCCTTTCATCAGTAATAAACTGAGCACTTTCACTTGCATTTTCATTCTCATTTGCCTCTCTTCTATGGTCCTTTTCTAGCGTTTCACTTCTTTCTGAGCAGCTATCCTCTTCTTCTTCTTCTTCCTCTCGAGGACAGCTTTCCACACTATGTCGAATTCCATAGGAGAAGTAAATCAGAAAACCTGACAAAAGAAAACAAGAGCAAATCATTTTTTCCTCCTAAACTTGTGATATATTCTGCAATATTTCTATTCATGATTACCAAAATACACTCAGCGTCATATTAGATCAGTATCATGGGCATAGTTCTCTGCCTACTTATACTGAGCATTTAGCATAAATGTTATTTCACAATTTTAAACAGCTTTTTTGCAATTAGCTGAATGTAATATACATTACATTACATGGAAAGTTAGTCCAAGAGAGAGTGAACAAAAAGCAAATTGAATGATTTTTTTCAAGTTTCTAAGTTTGATCCAGATAACACTAGTTGGAATCCATGATTGCAATTACAAACGTGTAACTTAACATCCTTCAGTACCATGATTGTCCAAGCGTTGTGTTCTTGGTTCTAGATTGATTATTTAACTACCTACTTAGTTATGTAGCTAAATCATTTTCCCAGTTTGATCCCCCAAAACTTTACTTACTGAAATGTAGCTGCTGCAAGTGACAGGGGGCAGGGTGTAGTTGACTGAAGTCTCCACCATTGATTCCCAGTGTGACTGTCAGAAGCAGGATCCTTATAATAATTCCATTTCATAACAGAGATCACTTGTGCAAAGGAGGTGGAAATGCCAGTCAGCTACATCCCAATCAACAGGAGAACAGTCTCTTATTGCTTGCAGTAGCTGCTACCTGGTAAATCCAAATTGGGGGCTTTCACAACCCGTATATATTCCCTTCACTCTCAAATAGGTAGATATTGTGAATATAAATTTTAGGTTTTCCTCTGTTAGGACAAAGTAAGGAAAATCTTAACAGCTCTGAGTTTCTACTCTCAAGAATTTGTGGATGGGAAAATGTTCACTTTTGGAAAACACCTCCTCTTGACTAAAAATACTTCCAGCAATTCTTCCTTCAAAGGACCACAATATCTAAGACACAAGTGGTGCCAGAGAACTGAAGCCCGCTAGTCATATATAGTTGGTCCAAAACTAAGGGTCTAAGTCTAGGGCTAATTCAGAAACGTTGTGGAAAACTTTTACATCATGCAATGAGCCACATTCGATACCTATCCATTTTAGAAATCTAAGATATAAGAAATTGTCCTTTATTTGAAGGATGCTCATGACAAGATTCTTCTGCTCTTCCAGGTATACCTACCAAGGGCCATCCAGATGCTAAAACGGATCCAAGTTTCCCCACTTAGCTGCATCATTAAGTAAATGTTCACTAAGATGCTCAAAGAGGGCAGGAGTGGCAAGAGAGGAACCTAAAGACAAATATTTTACAATTTCAGTGTTTTCCCAAAACATTCAGCACATAACAATAACACTGGAATAACTACCTCATTTCTTTTATTATAAGACATTGAATATATGGTACTGTAGCCAAAAGGGAAGTTGATGCAGCTATCTCTAGCTGTAGAGTAGTGCTTCAAATGTGCGCACAGAAACTCAAGTACTGGTTAATAGCAGGACTGGACGACAGTGGAAGTCTGGAGACAAACTAATTCACATCACAGAAATTATCATGGGCTGCAGAAGCCTCTAAAATGTAAAAGAAAAAAACTCCAGCAGGGGGCACTGAGGGATCCAGGCCTAAAAAATTACTTTGATGGATACTCTTTGGCTACCCTTTTTTGGTACATGCATTAAGGTTCAGTTCTCTGACTTAAGGACATCTCCATGAAGAATGTTCTTAAGTCAGTGAACTGAAGGAAGCTTAGATATTAGGCTAAGGGACAATACTATTCTAGATGGACTAGTGCTTTGATCCAGCACATATAACCATTGTCATATATATTATTTCAAGACTATAATATTCCTAGACTATAATATGTACTTCAAGAGTCCCTATCCTTAAGTTTGTTGTCATTTGCTAAATGTGAAATCAGCAAGATTGCATAGAGCAGGCATCCTGACATGAGATAGTTTTTATGATTTTAATAGGTATTGATGTTTCATTTTAATTGTTGAACTGTTATATTTTGTATTGTTTGTTGTGTGATTTGGGCATCTAATTGTGCCTCCTTTGTAAGCCGCCCTGAGTCCCCCCCGGGGTGAGAAGGGCGGGGTATAAGTAGATGAAATAAATAAAATAAATAAATCCTCAAATTGCGGCCCTCCAGCTGTTTGGGCCTTCAACCCCCAGAAGCCCCAATGAGCTTGTTCAATTGTCAGAAATTCTGGAAGTTGAAGGCCCAAACAGCTTGAGGGCCACAGTTTGAAGATGCCTGGCATAGAGTATTACTTCTAAGTAAATACACAGGATTATACTGGAGAGGAAAACTGCTAATTGGGATTGCTGAATCTACACCTCTTCCAACCTGTTCTACAATGGAGACCATTTTTTTCAAGTTTGCTATTTAACTGGTTATTTACATTAAGAAGAATAAGTATTTCAACACCATACATACTAGCTTACCCATTCTGTTTTGAACTTTCACAATATATTTGTTTCATCAAATTATTTGCCTATTAAGCGGACTTAAAAGGCTAGTTTATAAAATATCCTAGTAAATGAATAAACTATTGGGGTTATTTTGTAGCATTTATACATTTATCTTCAGTACTGAAACAGCAGTGGTGGCAGTACCATTTTGCTGAATTTTCCCCAAAGGGTTAGAAGGACTGTTGAACATATACCATCCACTGTCAAGGACTCCAGTTCTTTAGTTGTTTTCTCACCATGAATGCCACCTTCTGCTGACTCTGCGGTTGTCTCCAGATGACAAGAACGATGACGACAAATAGAATTGAAAGAGCTGCAAGGAGACAAATACTCCAGAGCTTCAGATTCGCAAGAAAATCTATCCCATAAGTGGTCAGGATGCTTAAGCCGCACACCAGGAGAGCTAGATGGAGGAGATTAAGGGAAACAGGAAAGAAACAGATTATTTTTGTGCACTGCTCTGAGTCCTCTTCGGGGTTGAGAAGGGCAAGATATAAATATAGAAAATAAATAAATAAAATTTCAGTATTTCAAAATCTTAGATATTTGAAAAAAAACTTTAGTTAGGAAATCAGGATTTTCAAAAATGAAAGACAGCCACTTTTTTCTGAGTTTATCATTCAAAACACAACTAGACTATTTGTATCATTTCAACATTACTCGCAGCTAAAACTTACTAGTCATCGATCTTTTTTCTCCAGTTCTCTACACTGGACATTTAATAGTAATAATAATAATTTTATTTTTTACTCGCCTTTCCTTGTGGCTCAAGGCAAGTTACAGCATAATTAAAACACATAAACATTATAAAATTCTATAAATATACATATTTCTATAAAATATACATATTAAAATGTATTTCTATAAAATGCACATTAAAAACACAGAACAGAGATTAAACAGAAGACACAAGTTTAAAATTCATGCTAAAAACTGGCTGGGTAGGCCTGCCAGAAAAGATAATTTACAATAAATTCTCTATCATCTTACATATGAATCTAATGTTTTGTTTTGTTCAAATGCACTTTGATTATTACTTGGAATTTCAAAGATGCTCCACATACTTAAACGGGTTTTGACTTACCCAACAGACCTACAAGCAGGTTAACCATTGTAGCAGACTGTTCAGTTGGCAAACTTGATGGATTTATCAGTGTTTGTAAGCTAAAACCGTGCCCTGGTATCATGCTAATTTGAGATTCACTTGCACATTCACTTTCAGGTCCTGCGAGAGCTTCTTTTTCAGCTGAATATTTGGCTTGCTCATAATTCAAACTGGGTTGGTACCTGTGTGCACAAGAGAAAATGATTGTGTGAAAGCAGATTTGATGTAATGAAATGGCTTGGCCTGACTTACCAGGCCAAGCAGGTTGCGATGCAGGGTGTTCTCACCGCCATTTGGCCCCAGGGGGCTTCTTCCCAGAAGCCCCCTGGGCAGCGGGAAAGTTTCCCGCTGTTGTGGCCTCCTGGCCAATGGCAGGCTGGCCTCGCCCTGTTGCAGGCATGGCTGGGGCCAGCCCCTTGCTTACGCTCAGACAGCCTACTTAAGGCTGCCTGAAGCCTTCAAGCAGGCACTGGGTCTGCTCCAGCTTTTCCATCCCACCCACCGTGCATGCGGGTTTGTTTCGGGGATTTTGTTATTTGTTTGCCTGTTATGCTAACTTTGTGTTATCTTGTTGGTTAACTTGTCACAACTCTATGCTTGGCGTGTGGCATGGGCCCTGGATCGGGCTGGTTTATCGCACCTTGGTGGAAGGGAGGATAACGTCTATGGTCCCTGGGGTGCCGAGTTTACGTTACCGATATTGTGCCGACGGCACCCAGGCTTGTAGCAACATCGGACAGCAGTGGGCTGTCTGATTCCTGATCCAGGACCCATGCTTGGCTGCCAACCCTTGTTCCTGTAATCAATAAATTAGTTGTGGCCAATTTTCACTCCAATCATCTTGTGTCGTGACTCTTTGGGTTCTGGAGGGAGGAGTATCACCCATGCACACGCAAAATGTTTTAAAACTACACTGAATAATACATCATACTGCAGGATATATTTTGGAGGTGGTCAAAAGACCCTCCTGCACACTTCATGCAATTCAAATCATACAAATCATTACTACCTCCACAATATAGATGGCACGATACATTTAAACATCTCCAGCACAACCTGAATGGTGGTCCACATTTCCTGAATGTTGAATGTCTTATAGTGGGAAAGGAAAAGCAGTTGGAAGAGAATGTAAAACATCCTCTGTTCTTATTCTTAAAACATATATATATTTAAAGTGGTATCCCAGGAGCAAAGAAAGTTATTACACTTCTGACATAACCATGTATCATTTCATGGCCTGTAGGCCAATAATTCCATATGTGTGCAAATTGTATGCCTGTAATCACCACATTGTGAAGCCTCGTTTGGCTCTGAGTAGCCAAATTTCACACCCCAAACAGGGGTTGGGCACAGAGTTCGACATGTGTCCATATTTTCGCTCATCCCATTGTTCCAGAGAGCTGCAGCATACCTTAAAGAGGTCTCATTTTGACAGACCACTTTCTGCTACAATTTAATGAAAAGTAAAGCTGTTCTAGGCTGAGGACTCTCTAAAACAGTTTTAAATACATTAATCTGGTCTGAGCTTTTAAAAATGAAATTTTGTTGTTCCTAAAGGCGATATGATTCCCACTCTGCCCTAAAGAATGCCAGGAGCCACTGGCCTAAGAAGCAAAGCAAGATTACTAATATATATGCTAGGTTTGCTGAAGGAGTTTTCTTGCGAGATGTATTCAGAGGAGGTTTGTCATTTCCTTGCTTCCTCTTAGTTTGAGAGTGTCATTTGCTCAGTGGGTTTCCATGGCGAAACAAGAAGTCAAAGTCTCCCAAAGTTCTAGTTTAACACTTAAACCATTGTACTAGCCACTGACATTGGAGGGAAATGATTTTACTGTTGAAGAACAGCTGAAGGGATAAGAGAAAACCCACCCAGATTCCAGTTGTTCCCAATGTCTTTGGCAAGGGAGGGCTTCCATTCTACAACAGCCAACATTCTACAACCAAAAATGCCAAGTGTTGAATTCTTTCCCACATATATAACATTGGAAAGAAATCAACAATAGACAGCAAAAGCTTACCAGACATTGTTGACAGAATGAATAGTACAGTATATTTCACTACTATTTCATTGCATATCTTCTTACTATTCCTGGGGTATTTGCTATGATTTTTACTGTTTTTAAATTGCTTTGTATTGATTTTGTGCATACCCTATGTATTGGACAAGCATTTTGCTTGTTTAAGCATCTTTGTGAGAGAAACAAAAATAATTAGGAAATTACTAGAAAAGACTGTATTTCAAATGATTTATCAATAATAAAATAACAATGCATTAAGAAAAGGAGCTCACCTAAGAATAAGAACACAAGCAGCGACCAGTGAGTATGCAAGAAGTGTTCCGATAGACATCATGTCTACTAAGGCTTTTAGGTCAAAGAGAAAAGCCATTAGAGCTAAAAGAAAAAGAAGAAAAAATTGTATTAAAATGTTATATATATTCAGCAAACTATGGATGATTGCTACTCAAGAACATCTAATGACTTCCCTTAGAAAGATGCTTTTGCATAATTCAAGAAAAAAATCTGCATCTTATAAATTATAAAAAGAACAAAAACTCTGTTATGCCAATATCAGCATTTCTGTATTACAGAAGTATTCTGTAACGTTTTTGTTATAATTTATTCAGAGGAATTTTACTGAGTTAATTCCCCTTCGTAATGTTATAACATCACTGTTTATACAGGGTTTTTTTTAGCCAATTGCTTTTAATAAGGAGAATGAGGGAGCATTTTTCATGGCAAACATTATACAGTTAAATACATGCATAAATGTAATGGGCAAAATGCACTGTGGACAGAGCCTTTTGAAACAGTGGGCATTGAGAAAGTATTGTTTTGTCTCAAATCTCATTTGTTGTGATAGGAAGTATTCTTGGTGCACTGTGCCCATGCTCCTTTCCTTTTCCTGCAAGAAGCTCATGCAAAGAATTAAGTATATTCAGCATTCAAACATTTATAAAAGATATTTTTTGTTTAAACAGTGTTAAAATGGAACAAAAGTATGTCAAGGGGTGTATAGGCTACATATACTTTTTAAAAACATGGGAAATGATGTTCAACATTCTTTGGGGCAACTCCAAAGGCTATTAGGGAGATTGGAAAAGAAGGAAGGTTTGTTGCACTAGCACTGCAGTACCATAGCACCCACCATTTTGGGATATGTATCAATGCAAATCATTGATAAGAGAAGGGAATTCCTACAAGAGGGAGAAGGAATGGAAGAAAACATTCCCTAAGTTGGTTTCTGATGCAGCCTATGATTTTGTGGACCATTGTGTTATGTCTAGGTAAGATCTATTTCAGATGAGAAACCAAGGACGCTTCCAGACAGGACTAAAATCTGCACCAAATCAGGTTTAAATAACCTGCTTTGGCATGGGTTTGAGTCCCCACTCCCCTAAAAAAATCTGGGCTTTCCCAGGGGGGTGGCGGCTACATGCCATCCCAATAAAAATCAGGATGGCATGCATCCACCCTGAAGCCCCCAATTTCATCCTAAAAGTTAAGTAAAAGGTACCTGGATGCCATAACTTCTCGTGTCCTCCCGGAGTGAATAAATGATGCCTGAGAACAACCCTAAAGAGGCTGTGGACAACCTTTAAAAGGCACCAAATTGTAAAAACGGATCCTGAATAACTCTAAAGAGGCCCTGAACAACTTTTAAAATGCACCAAATGGGTGCCTCCAGGAGTCCAAAAGGTTCGGGATGACAATGGAAACTCACCCACGGGGTAGTCCTGAGACTACCTGGAAGTGAGTCTGAGCAGGCCCAATAACTCATTAGACCCATACCTTTCAGGAAGGCCCAGAGCTAATGGGATATCAAATTAATTTGGAACAAACCAGGGAAACCTTGGTTTGTTCTGAATTAATTCGTTTTTACTGGTGCCATCGTTTGGATGCCTCCAGTAAAAACCAAAACAGATCCCAGTTTTTGGGCCTGTCTGGATGAGCCCCTAGTGTTAGTTTAAAGGCAAGTGTTTCGCTTACATTTAAAATCAACATTAACTTTCATGCATTTATATTGGTATGGATAGGCAAACCTAACTCTAAATATTGAGTTCTTGGATGTTAACTTTTAAAAAATATATTGCTTTAAATCTCATGATGTCATAGAAACCTGCAAGCAAAATTATAGGAGCTTGAAGAAATGAATTTAAAATTAAATTTTAAAAGATGATTCTTCTCTGGTTCTACTGATAACGCGTTTGGCCAACTGTTTCTCTTTTCTCAAATCTTACAGCAAAAAAGACAAAAAATTTATGAACATACGAGTTTCATTTCATTACACTTCCAAATTCTGAACTTTTGATTTTTATTCTAAAAGTAATATCTAATCTCAACACTGTTTAGAACAGAGGGGTTATCATGCCCAAGTATTAATAGCAATGCCATTTTGGAGCAGGAAGAGAGATTAAGGAAGGAAAGAAAAACAACGCACCTTTCAAGCTATATTCCACTTGCACTTTTTAAAATGTTGAATACAGCTTAAGCAGAACTTTCACTACAGAGGTTTATGTAGGAAAGGTTTATATCAACATTGCACAAGGTACATGAAAAAGCAGGGGAGTTTTACCAAGGTATTCACATATGCTGCCATTATTCCACATGCACAACCAAGCATCATTGGTTACATTAGACAAATGGTTTAGAAAATAGAATAATTCCAGAAAATGTCTTCTTCTACCACCACCACCAACACCTTCCACCACCAACACCTTCACAATTCAGAGTTTCAATGCCTTCCAATTAGTAACCAGTTTCATTCCCCATTTACATGCATGCAGGCCTATGTTATCACAGAATTATGCATGTGAACACAGGATTCAGATCCCAGTTAAGTGGGACCTGGGTCGACAGAGCTTACCGGCAATGAGCCCTGCTGTCATTGTGGCAGCAACTGGAGACTGCCTCTTGCTCACTTTGGCAAGAAATCTAAACAGTAACCCGTCTCGTGCCATGGCAAACAGAATGCGGGGCAAAGGGAACATAGAGCCCAGAAGACTAGAACAAAAAATAGTTCATTGTTCAAGTACCATAGTAACAATGCTACATTATAAAGACTACCCAAAAACACACAAAATCAAGGGAACTTCAAAAGTAAAATGCACTTTTGTCAGAAGAATTTCAATAACCAAAAATAAAGTTTGTGAGAGCAAAAGTTTTAGTTTTTCTGTTTAGGGATTCACATTTTATAATTGGAACCATAACTGCCTTATCCATGTCTAACTTTGGTCTTTGACAGAGTTCATTTTCTTGAACAATTCGTTTGCTTACAGCCTCACCTGCTACAACCCCCGATGATAAAGTAGCAACAAGTGGAGTCTTCGTTTTGGAGTTGATTTGAGCTAGCCATTTGAAAAGCAACCCATCCTCTGCCATAGCATAGATTACCCGCGGCATTGGGAAAATGGATCCAAGGAGACTGGATAAAAAGCAAAAGAACATGCAACATGGCCAACACAAATACATGCAATGCATTAGGGAAAAGCAAAACAATGCCAATTAACAGCATGTGATACCAGAAAGATGATTGACATTTGGGGGACAAGGGAGAAAGGAGATACCTATGCAAGTCATGTTACAGTAAAGATACAAGTTACTTGAACCTTCAACTAACCTTTCTGATATCTAAAACCCACGTTTATATGTGGACAGATTGATGTTCAGGGACATTCCCATTTTCTCCCTCATACAGCCTGTAGTGAATTCAATCCAGATTTTGAAATATTCCATGCAATATTGAAAAGAGTTCTAACACAACAATGTGTTTGTAATGCATTAAGAATGAAGGAGCTGGGCACTTGTTTAATCAATTATTTCTAATACTTTGAAGCAAGAGAATTTCAGATCTGATAAATAATCTGTATAGTTCCAAAAATGTGGATTTTTTATTCATTTTTTTCTTTTTCATTTTCATAGATCATGCAACCCTTAGGTTTGGGTCATGCAATACTAACCTCAGTGAATGCGGAAGGCTTACTATATTTCAGTTCAGTGCCCTGGAAAGTAATTCTATCTCTATCATTTTAATTACTTGCAAATATACTTTTTTTTCATTTGTGTGCATGCTCTTAATGGATGGAGTAAAATATTAAAGGAACGACGGTGGCGCAATAGGCTAAACCCTTGTGCTGCTGAACTGTTGACCTGAAGGTTGGCTGAACTGCTGACCTGAGGGTCAGCAGTTCAAATCCGCGAGATGGGGTGAGCTCCCGCCTAGCAGCTCCAACTCCTGCCAACCTAGCAGTTTGAAAACATGCAAATGTGAGTGGATAAATAGATACCGCTTTGGCAGGAAAAGGCAAAAAGATGCTCCAAGCAATCTTGCCGGCCACACAACCAGGAGGTGACAATGGAGGCTCCTTGGCTTGAAAATGGCACAAAGCACCTCCCCAGAGATGAGCACCATCTCCAGAAGCTGGAAATGAAAGGAGGAGCCCCTGCCTTTGTTTGTGTGTCTCATTATATATGATTGTAAAGGCATTGAATGTTTGTCTATGTATGTAATACTGTAATCCATTCCGAGTCCCCTAGGGGAGAAGGGTGGAATATAAATAAAGTGTATTATTAAAAACTAGTAACTGAAGTAACTTGTGTCTTTACTGGAATCCTTTCAAAAGATGGTACCACCATGACATATCTAGTAATATTTACAATGCAATTAAGCATTACCACACCATGACAGATTGCATCAGGCAGCAGAATTAAAAATAGGTAACCTCATCCCTGCAGTCGGCAATCCTTACCAAAAAAAGAAGCTCGTATCTAATTATATAATCTATTTAAAATAAACATTTAAAAAGAAAGTTTATTCTTTTTTTCAAGTGACGCCTTTGTTGTATCTCTGCTTTACCAAAGTCAGAAAAACTCATTCAATAAGCATAGAGGATCCATCCCAGACTGCAATGAGTCTCCAGGATCAGATTGCTCTCGCTTAATCCATTTTGATACATGGTCGTTCTTGAAGATTTGTTGGGAATTTGAGCACAATTGCAGTGCCAATCCATATGACTTCACCAGTTAGTGTTCTGGCAACATGGATACAACTAAGTAAAACGTTTGAAATCTGAGCAAATACATTTATCCCCATTTTGCATATTAACAATTCCTGAGATTTCTAAGTGGAATGTTATCATATGACAGTAACATGAGTCTACTGGTCACAGACTTCAATTACTTGCCCTCTCAGCAGCATTCTACCTCCATTTTAAAGGGTTGTTTATATTTAATGGAGGCTTTATGGCCCCCGACAATGCATTTCTGGATTGACAGGACAAAAATAATTTAAATGCTCATTTGTTTATCCTAGTCATATTACATCTGTCATGTAGCTATGTTACAGAAGGTTTTTTTTAAAGGCTAAGGGGCTTTCTCACCCATTGCAAACACAAGATTTTCAACCCTTTAGCAATGGTTAAGAGACTGGAACTGTGCATTCCCTGTTTTACTCAATGAATTATCCTCCTTTCTTTCTCTGGTTTGCATGAACCATGGCACAGAATTACATTAGCCTCAAGTTAAACTAAAATGTCTCTTGCAAATTCATTTCAACCCAGTTACATAATTTAATTAGAAGGGCAATTCAAAGTAGCAGCGATGTAGATTGAAGTCTTATACTGATCAGAAAATGAGTCAGAGATGTAGTCCAACAAGGCTAAGGCCACCCTTCCAACTCCTGACAGATGTACGCTTAACAAGTCAAAAGAAGTAATGAGGGATTCACTGGGAAAGGATGAGAGAGGTCCTTTGCTTCAATTATTTGTAATGTTGTGAGTTTCTCACTTGAAAATAATTCAGGAATTCAACCAATTTATGGCAAATGTCCTTTGCTGTAGGATACTGGACAGGTTGCTTACACTGTATGTGCCAAATTTAAATATCACATCAGCTAAGCAGTCTTAGCATTAATAGCAAACAAGCATATGCAAGTGTTAGGAAGCCAAGACAGCATTGCTAGTTTTAAACATTAGATCTGGTCTTTGCAAAATGCTGAAACCAGCACTTGGTGCAGTGAAGTCACATTTACTTCAGGTTGAGCAGGACAAGAAAAGTTGGTCTTTACACTATTTGGTTCCTTTCAATTTCATAAATCTTACAGGAAATCTTCCTCAAGTGGCTTAAGCAATTGACAAAAACCAAACTGGATGCAGCTTCTCTATATACAGTCTTATTTTAAAATATGAGGATATTATGCACATCAATTAAAAAGCAACAACCCGATTTTGATGTATATGAGAGTGTCTTGTGATGTTATTTTGTTAAACATATGCATTCTTTATGCAGGTCCATTTTAAGAATGTCAAAAGATTTTTTTTAAAAGAACTCAAAGGCATTATTCTTGGTTGGCATTATGTATTGCAGCTGCAGATTCATAATAAGAGTTATAGATCTCTAACTGTTCTATAATCAGCAACTCTACATAATATGTAAATGAAAAAGGTTTGTTCAGCTGGCAATCAGGGTACAGGGGGATGACATTTCTAGCCTCCTCCTGCCAGTGAATGAGGTTGTGACAATCTGAAGCAGGTCCACTTTTGCAGTTCCTCATCAGAACTGCATTTTTTGGCAGAAGGGATCTGGAAAACAAATCCTCCTGCAGCCTGACTGCCAGATGAATAGAACTCCTTTGATGTGGCTGCAGGCTTAAGGTAGGTCTGGGGGCATCAGGCCAAGTAGGTCTGGGGGCATTAAGGTAGGTCTGGGGGCATGTATAAGCTGAAGTCATATGAATAGAACTCCTTTGATGTGGCTGCAGGCTTAAGGTAGGTCTGGGGGCATCAGGCCAAGGAGGTCTGGGGGCATTAAGGTAGGTCTGGGGGCATTAAGGTAGGTCTGGGGGCATGTATAAGCTGAAGGCAGGTTTTGGGGCCAAAATAATGGATTTTGGTATGATCCTTGGATATATTGAGAACAACAGCACTGACTCAAGGGGGTAGCCTCTCCTCGCCTCAACCCCAATACTCAAAAAGGTCAGAAGTGGTGCCATGACAAAGGGAATAGAGAGTGTCAGTGCTTCTTTCAGATTCTCCCAGGATAGATACTACTCCAGTCATATATACCGTATTTTCCAGCATATAAGACAACTGCTCCGCCCTTCACTTACACCTTCCTGGTGAAGCACCCCCTCACCTCATCATCAGGACCACATTAAGTCACTTCTTTTTACAAATTGTGATTAGTGGATTTTCTTCTACCATACTTGTACAGAACCACCCTTGCTGCTTTCATAGTCACCACATTCAACAGGGATGTGGCTGCTGCAATTTTTTAGCTCCCCCCACTATATGTGGCAACTACAGATCCTCCAGTCTGGCTCGGAAGTTTCAGCACCCACTCTATAAGACAACACCTGGCATATAAGACAACTCCCAACTTTTGATAATATATTCCTGGATTAAAAAGTATATAAAATATAGCTTCAAATAGCACAGGAAAGGACTAACAACCCTGTGGGGTTTGTTTTGCTGCCCATGTCCCTGTTCAGAAGACCGCCTCACTTTCCTTCCCATAATAATTGAATTTTGAAAATTTTGGCTTGTTGTGGAAACAAGGATAGGTGAGAAAGCTTCAGTGGAGACACCTTTTCCCAATAATAAATCTTTCCCTTCCAGCGATAGATTTCTCTCACTTCCTGTTGTCTCACCCCCTGTTCTTAACTATGAGTCATTTGTAAGTTGGGCGTTTGTAACTCGGGGACTACCTGTATATAGGGTCATTACACATTCATAACTAAGTAGGCCATTTAGGATCTTGATACATGCCTCTACTTATATTCTTATATTGTTTCAGTTGTGGACAATACTCAATAGACTGTGATGCGCCATTAATACTACAGGTAGTTCCCTTGAAAATAAATTATCTTCAGTACAAAGGTGACATACCAATTAAGAACAGCGAGCTCAACTACACATTTGTGTAGGATTTGAAAAACAACATGCAGGCTTATAACATCTCTATTTTCTCAATAAAAAAGTTAGGTGACAATTCACTTCCATTATTTTTTACCTTGTTGACAGAGCACATAAAGATCCCACTGCTACAAGGTATTTTGCTGGGCCCCATCCAACATATTCAAATGCTACAGGGAGAGGGCTTTTCCCATCTATTAGGTAGTATGGCATCATAAGAGTTAAAGCAGCTGAAACCCCAAAATAGGCCATAAAACAGACAAGTAGAGAAGTTACAATTCCAATAGGTATGGCTTTCTGGGGATTCTTCACTTCTTCCCCTATGGAGGAAAAATAAACATAACATATTTAATGTCTTCATTATTATAATTTAAAAAAAACTGATTAAAAAAAACACAACCAGAACGATAACAATTAAACACAGGCATGACTTGATAATAAGATAAGATTGCTAATAAAGTTCAATTTTTTAACAACAGAAAATATACATGATGCAGAACTGATCATTTGTTTGAGGAGGTCAATAATAAAGTAACAAGATCCAATAAGACGATTACATGTTCAGCATATTTCTCTCCAAAAATGTTACTTGCATTATTGGTGGCTTAATCAAAATAAACAGCTTCTCAACCAATGTGACATTCTGAATTTTATTGTTTTATATTGCAAAAATTGAAAAATTATAGCTTGGGAAGAAAAAACATATTAAATAAAAAAATTATGCACTCTAATCATTAGAATACGAACTTTTCCACACATGCCTAGGAACAGCCAAAAGGAGTTCAAAATATATCCAATACAGACAGTACAATACCACAGATATAAACTACAGTTTCAACCTAACAATCGCAAACAATGGACAAGTAAACTTACCTGTCGTTGCAATGCAATCAAATCCAATGAAAGCATAAAAACAAGTTGCAGCACCAGCAAGTGTTCCAGTAAAGCCATAAGGCATAAAGCCACCAACTCCAAATGCACTTGTTATGTTCTCAGAAAACGTTACGTTTCTAAAAAACACAATTTTAAAGATTTTCAGAGATGTTTTAAAGAAGGTATTTTTTACCTACCAAATTTACCCAAGACTTGCTTGTTTAGGTAGATGTTCAATAACATCTGTAGGTCATATTTGTTATGACATTTCTTTATAAACATATGGATTTTAAGACCTCACGATCAATGACAACCACCTTAATACAACTCTAAAGAGGCATTGGTACACACTGTCTTTAGTGTGTGCCAATGCCTTTTGAGAGTTGCATAAAAAATAAACTATCTGAAAGACAAAGTTTCCACATTTCATCTGATTTTCTTTTTAACAGCATCCCTCCTGAAGCCAGCATTAAAATGTGCCATCATATAAAATGTCTACACCAAGACTGTTTCCCCATACAACACAGTATATATGTCTGGAAACATTGTAATATTTTGTAATTGCCTATTATATGAAAAGATTTTGTGATGACCATAATGTCTGGCCTGAACTGTCAGGATTTCTACAAGGAAACAATTTTTGTTTCCTGATAACCTAATATTGTTCCAAAGTCTAAACTTATGCGCCAGCTACGCCTGTACCTTGAGAAGTCTGATCTGGCCACAGTGGTCCATGCTCTTGTTGCATCCCAAATAGATTACTGTAACGTGGGGTTGCCTTTGAAGACTGTTTGGAAACTCCAACTAGTCCAACGGAGAGCACCCCCCCCCCCCCCGTTATGTCAGCTCCACTGGCTGCCGGTCCAGTTCCAAGCACAATTCAAAGTGCTGGTCTTGACCTATAAAACCCTATACGGTTCTGGCCCAGCGTACCTGTCTAAACATATCTCTTTCTACGTCCCACCTCGGAGTTTAAGATCTTCTGGGGAGGACCTGCTCTCGGCCCCGCCTCTGTCGCAAACGCACTTGGCAAGGATGAGGGACAGGGCCTTCTCGGTGGTGGCTCCCCACCTGTGGAATTCACTCCCCAGTGAAATTAGATTATCAACGTCCCTCCTTTCCTTTAGAAAGAAGTTAAAAATGTGGATGTGGGACCAGACCTTCGGGTAATCTTGCTGACAATGACAGTGACAATGATGACAATCACTATGGAAATAGACTATGGACATGCTTGATGGAGTTTCTAACTACAGAATTTGGCTCAGATAAGGCCACCAGGCTGTTGTTGAAACAGAAACAGATTTTAATGAATTGTGATTTAATTTTTTAAATGTATATAATTATTGGATTTTATTATGTATTAGGGCGGGGAACAAATATCTGAAATAAAAGAATAATAATAAACTAAAAACTAAAGGTCCTTTCTCCATCTTTCTGTAGTGTAACTAAAGTTGAAAGTCCTTTCTCCAACCCCGCAAAAGCATGCAATTAAAATCCACATCCTTTTTCCTAAATATGGTCTCCGCCCACATCTAGCTATGGAGCTGGTAGTTGAACATCAGTTCAAATGTTACATTGTCCTTGGAAACATTTACATGTAATACTAACGCATAAATTAGCACTACATGCATGAATACAAAAACTGGGCACAAAATGCGTTCACATCTGTTTCCGTACAACCAGAGGACAAATTCAGTTTGATTCCTCATTTGTTGTTATGCACAAATCGGACATTTCTACTTGAAACCAATTATGTTTATCAAACATGCTGGCAAAACATCCCAGTGTTTGTTGTTAAATTGTTCAAAAATCATCTAGAAGTTCTTGGATTCCTTAGATAGGAATTCATTAGAGTGAAGCTGCTTTATTCCTCCCAGTCTCATGGGAGCAGGGGAGAAGGAAGATATGTAGCCCCAGCACTTTCCATGAATTTCTTTCTACACAAGTTATATTGTACTTGTCCATGGTACTACATGCAAAATACTCGCAAACAAAAGCTAACGGTCAAGCAGAAGTAGAATAAACACTGAAATTACATGACTTCCACGGTGTAGTTTATAAGACGTTCTTCTGTTATCTTCCAGTTATCAATGTCACCTTTCACAAAGCCAGAGATCATAACAAAGAGAAGGACCAAGATGTTAACAGCAGTGAAGATTTTATTCACCCAGGCGGATTCTTTCACTCCAAATGATAATAGGCCTGTAAAGCAAGAAGGTTTTTTTTTATGAGCAATTGCATATGTAAGGTTATTTCTTTTCAGGCAGGCTTTGAAAAAAGAAACTTTTTGGAAGAAAAAAAGTTAAAATTGTAAATGGGCAAATACTACCCCCACAGTTATGGCTCTAACCGCAGCCTATTATCGGCAAATACGTTAATTCAGAGGTTTATTTGTTTCTTATATGTTATTCATTTTTTATTTTTTCCTTTTTTTTTTTCCTTTTCTACAAGTACGGAGTACAATCTTCTCTAAGTGCCGCAAACCAAAAATACATGAAGCAAATTCTCAGTTAAAACTTTCATTTCAATATTAAACACTATACTAAAAAGTAAATCAACATAGATCAGGAAAGGAAGCAAAGTAAAAGTCAATGGGCGGAAGGGAACACAGGGAATGAAACGAACTAGAGAGAAGTAAAGGGAAATCATGAGACAGAAACCATGAGAACCTTTAAAGATAGGATAATAAAGATACTTACACGAAAGTTTCTGAAGCATGAAGGACAATAGCGAATATACCCATACAAAAATTAAGTATTGGAGAAACTACATACATTCCTATAAAAAAAATGAAGACTGCACATGAAGTTGAAAAGAAAATCCACTAGAGTGGGTGAGAGGAGGTCCTGCCAACTGAGGTTGGCCAAGTTTTTAACGTATATGTTTTATGTGTATTTGTATTTGTATTTGTACTTTGTTATACATGTATTCAACTGTTTGTTCTTTATGACCGCTTTGTATGTCTTTTTAATGTTGTAAAATAAAAAAATTAAAAAAAAGAAACTTTTTAAGGCTGCGCCAGAGGGTGCTGTGAACTGTTTTAACTATGTTAATAGGTTTTTAATTTGTTTTAATAGTTTTTAACTGATTATTTCTAATAGTTTCAATGTTTAATTCTGTTTTTATGTTTGTATGTTTTCTAGATTTTAAACTATATATTGGATTGCTTTCACTGTTAGTGATTTTGTATCTCTTTTTTAGAGAGATAAAGCAGGATATAAATTATATAATAACAACAACAACAACAAACGACAACCTGCACTGGTTGTAAAAGTGTAATTCCTGATTCCTGTAATAGTTCCAAGTAGATTTTGAGATTATTTTTCAAATAAATGTGTCTTCTTGATGCAGCTACACTAGATTAGTAACTTTATGTTAGCACCTTAAGATCCTACATCAGAAGAAAGGTGGGATATACAAAAATAAAGTAAACAAAAGTAAGTAAATAAATAGCATAAAATCACGACAGTCAGAGTTTTAAAAACTATTTTTTTTCTTACAAAATTAAACGAATTATACTGGATTGTGCGCCTTAATTCGAATTCTAGGAATATAAGAATTAATTTTAAACATTTTTACCTGCTAGAAGCAATATAAGGCAGACTGCAAAAAAATCTGGATATTCTGCTAGACCAGAATAATTCATTCTGAAATAGGTTTTGAAAAAATAACCAATTTGTTTTCCAAGGAGTTCATCAAATGTACCACTCCATGCTCTCGCTACACTTGATGTACCTAAGAAAACACAACAAAATAGAACATACTATAGATTACAAAAAGGATTACAACAGTATTTTAGTAGCTTAAAATACAAATCCTACTTGAATTTAGAAAGCAGTATCAGAAGCATCATAATTATGTCGGATCCCAACACTACAGTATCAACACATTAAATCTTCCCTATCCAGAACCTTGATAAAGGGTGCCTTTAAAAATCAATATAGTTTTATAACATCTCGTTTCAGTAGCATAATGTTGTCTCCTTTACTCAAACCTGTCCCACTCATTATAGACAAAAATCACATGTTTCCTAAAATACCTAAATAACTGGAAAGGCCTAATTTGATACACTGGCTCTGTAGTACCCAATGAAATAAATAGTTAATTTACTTAATCTTTATAATAAATAGCTGTATGAAAAATCGTTTGGTGAGCTTGCCATCAGGACAAACCACATAATACAGCCATGTGGATGAAGAAAGAGATGCTCGGCTGCAGACGTTGGTTCTTCAAAGAAACTCATAAGATATATTTGCCTTGCTACTCCATCTTCAAATGTAAGATATAGTTGTACACACAATATAATGTTTAACAAGGCTTAGATAGTATCCAGGGTACCATGGTCAAGAACCCTTTTAACTAGTACATCTATCACTGATATCACTCCATTCCAATCTATCCCAAGTCTATCCCTCTCTTACGAAAACATTGCTAATCACAGGATCCTGGTCCATTCATACTATTACCAAAACTAGGCTTAGAAAATGCATGTGTACAGACGACCTCTCACACATACGGATTCCAAGTACTTAGCAGGATCCAGGAGGCAAAAGCCATGCAGGTTTGGACTGGCATTCTCCCAATAGTCTCAAAGGCTTCCAAACTCACCTATAACATAGGACAAAATGAGATTCCAGCCGGTGATAAAAGCCCAGAGTTCGCCAACAGTCACATATGTATACAGATAAGCAGAGCCAGTCTTTGGAACTCGAGCACCAAATTCGGCGTAACAGAGGCCTGCCATCACAGAAGCTAAGGCCGCAATGAGAAAAGAAAGAACTATACTAGGTCCAGAATCTGCTTTGGCAACTTCTCCAGCGAGGACGTAAACACCAGCTCCCAGGGTACTTCCCACTCCAAGGGCAATGAGGTCCATGGTTGACAAACAGCGACATAATTTGGAATCTTCAAGGCTGTCCAAAGTTACAATCTTCCTCCGGAAAAGGCGGCGAACAAATGACAAAGCTGGTCCACAAGTAATCATTTTGGATTGGGAATTCTGAAAAATAAGAGAGTGGCTGAAATATTGAAATAGTAACTATACAGTACTTAATCAGGTAAATGCTCCACCTAGCTCTTGATTGGAAGCAAGCTCTCAAAGGTTTCAGGTAAGCCATACCTAGAGATCACTGGAATCGATGTTGACCTCCCATCCAAGCACAAACCAGACCTCACCCACTCAGGTGGGATGATGATACACTGTGACTTATATGTATTTCTAGTTACTCATTTCTAATATTTGATACTTAGTACATGTAGAAGGAATAGCACGTTTTGTAACACTTGGAATTGCATTAATTGTGTCAGTCTTCCAATTGAAGGCCATTATGTTAATGAAACAGTTTTCCAGCTTCCCAACTTCCTCCCCAAATCTGCTCCAAAGGGTCTCCCAACTCCAATTTGCAGGACAGGCAAATTCAGCTGTAAAAAATGAAGCAAGCTTACAAAAGAGCAGATAAAACTGCTATTGGAAATGCTGGTCAGAATGTGGTTATGTGAATGTCACAGGTCTTTTCTAGACAGCACCTATGACAAGCATCTGCCATCATTCTGTTGTTATTGTTGCATGTTTTGGTGTTGTTTCCAATTCCTTCCAATTCATGGGGTTTTCTTGGCAAGATCTGCACAGAGGGGGTTGCCTTTGCCTAGAGCTGAGAGAGTGTGACTTTCTAAGATCACCCAGGGGGTTTCCAGAGATGAGCATGGATTCAAGTGTTGGCCCCCAGAATCATAACCAACACTCAAACTACTACACAACACTGGCTCTCATTTGTTACCTTGTTTTTTTTAAAAAAAAAAACCCAAACATATCAGAAATTATGCATTGTTACTCCTATCATTGTCTAGCCTTGCCCCTTCAGAGCAGCTTCCCATTCTTAAACTATAAGATTCAGAGACTACACAATGTTCAGTTATCAACCTGCGACCTCCTTGAAAACATTTACAAGACTGTAAATTTTCAACTATGCTATATGTCCTACTCCATTAAGGATTACAGTACTATAGCAAATTTTAATAATGTAACCTTACACTCCTGCTGAGTTCAAAACCTTTTCTACTTCCTAGAAAGTGCAGAAAAAATTATAAAAATATAGCTTACTTTTTGAAAATCCTTATTACAAACTTTCAATAACTTAATTTCAAGTTAATCTAGTTAAGATTATTTCACAGCAATTATCTAGATTTTGAACATTAAATTGCTCTCTTCTTCAGGTTTTTTATCTTTAGAAAGCCAGGTATTCAACATTAACAGTCTACTTTGGTGCACTGTTTGCAGACTGCAAAGCCATTTATAGAAAGTGACTCAAAGATTTTACAGACACCATTCAATGTCTTCTCAAGTGTTTTCAGTTGTTTTATAAAGCAACTGCCAACTTTCTTTCAGCCTAACCTTTACTTACCCAACAGAAATATTCAGTTTATGGACTTCTGGATTTCTTTGGTCTAGCAACAAATGGTGGAGGAAGATTTTTGCTTCAATATCTGCCTTAAAAGTCGAAGCAGTCGGTGGTGTGAAGCTGCAAGCTCTAAGGGGGTGGAGGAAAGGCAGCCACAGGTGATTGGATGATGGGAGCCTACCCACCTATTTGGCAAACAAAAATAATGTTTTGCTATTCATATAAGTCATTCCCATTAGACACACAAAGTCAGATTTTGCTGGCTCGCTTTCCTGTTTAAACAGCAAGCGGAGCATGTGGGGAATATACATCCACTAGAGTCAGAAGGCTGTTCATCTAATTGACAGATTAGCTGGAGTTATGCAGCTCAGTACAACTCAATGTTGCATGTGAAAAAGTTACTCCCACATGACCAATTATGGCCAGAGCATGGAGTTATAGTATAACTTGACTCAAAGAAATGCTGTGTTTTACTGCTTCTACACCCAGGCGCATGGTGCAATTACGGCTTCAGGGAACAGAAGTGGACTTCTGAGAAAAGCCATGTGTATCTGGATTGGGGCATCCCTTAATGGTTCTCAACCTGTGGGTCCCCAGGTGTTTTGACCTGGGGACCCACACTCGGCACTTAATCTTTCAGAACTCCCAGAAATCTCAGCCAGTTTACCAGCTGTTACAATTTCTGGGAATTGAAGGCCAAAACATCTGGAGACCCACAGGTTGAGAACCACTGTCCTAAGTGAATCCAGAGTGGCAAGCTTTTAAACAGCAGGAGCCACTCAATAGAAGCTGTAACTTGGTCCCACAGATGTGTGCAAAAAAGCATGTTTTACACAACAGACATCTAGCTCAGCTCTAAAAAATATCCAAGAAAGTTTTCTAACCACTTTCAAACATTTTTTTAAAGTAAAACAAAACAAATGCTCATCTGCATGCTTATTCACACATTGGCACATATCCTTTACAAACACAGGAGCAAAGACTGTGTTGCTATTACCGCAAAGTTAAACCATTCAATCCTGTTTTATTCTCCTCCACGCCCCGGTTCTGCTTCATGTCTCTCACTCCTCTGCAGAATAAAAGTACTGCAGGATTAAGATTTATAAGAAACGACTGAAACGGAAACCACCCTCATTGTAGTAAAGAAATGCACAGAACAGCCTTCTGGTGCCAAATAACACCCTTTCATATTTTAGGAGGCATTTGGCCTACAGGGTTGTTTCCCTTTTGTTTCTGCTGTTCTGTTAAAACTTTTTTTTATTCATTCTGGTTGCTATGCTTATTTTCTCCTACCAGATTTAATTCTGATATTGGCTTGAACCCTCCTGTTGACATTTGCTGGTATCGGCTGAACGTATATCTGTGCATATTTTATTTTAGTCATTACAGAAGTTGACCTTCTTTTCAACCTTCTCCAGCAACCAAAACCCTAGCTATCCTGATTCACTACTGAGGCTCCTTCTACACTGCCATATAAAATCCAGATTATATGCTTTGAACTGGATTATATGGCAGTGTAGACTGAGATAATCCAATTCAAAGCAGATAATCTGGATTATCTCCTTTGATAATCTGGATTATATGCCAGCGTAGAAGGGGCCTAAGATGTTGCAGTCACCCCACCCCACACACCCAGCTACGCCATGGTTGCTAGAAGGGGGCATCAGAGAAATATGTAGCTGTATTCTCATAGCCAGAGGCGGAATAGTTATATGAGACCTTCAGTAGACTCCAAATTTTCCCAGCAGATGATGTAATCATTTTGCATCTGGATACAGGGACATACCCAGATGATTCTACAATCCATCCAGTGAAGAAGGTGTTGGGCACATGTGTGATAGCAAAAATAGAAATGTGCCTTTATGAGTCAGACAAGATTTTGAAGCAATAGAAACAGGGTTCGGGATTTGATAGAGAAGGGTGGGTTGACATATTTTGGATTGAGGAGAGACAGGATAGCCACTCAGATGGGAAAACTGACTACCGTTTTGGTGAGCCTAAAATAATGTTATATTAGAGGTTAATATATTGTTCTACTGTGTTTAATCAACCTATTCTCAATGCAGTTTGAAAAATGTCTTGGTCTGTTTCTATCAAACCTGCACAGCAATACAGGAACCACAGAAACAACACAGCCACATTTAAGTGATCATCTTGAGGCCCAAGAAACCAGTCCATGAAGATATTAAATAGAGGAATAAGAGCAAGGCAAGTGGCAGGATTCCTAGTGTTGAAACATGGGACTGGATCTACACTGCCCTAAATCCAAGGATCTGATCCCACATTATCTTCTTACCCCAGATTATCCGGCAGTGGAGACTCATATGATCCAGGGCTCTTCCACACATTCATATAACCCAGAATTTCAAGGCAGAAAATCCCACCATCTCTACTTTGAACTGGGTTCTCAGAGTCTGCACTGCCATATATTCTAGTTCAAAGCAGATAATGTGGGATTTTATTCAGCTGTGTGGAAAGGACCCCAGTTCAAAGCAGGTAATCTGGGATCGGATCTGGGATATAGGGCAGTATAGATCCAGCCTGAGGGGCCAGCCTCCATACAAGGCTCTATCACACATACACATAGCATAGTTTGGGGGCCTACAGCTGCCCAATGCTGATTTTGGGGATATTAACTGGACATCTGGATTGTAGCTCCACGTGCAGAACTCTTATAGTGGGGCCAAACAGGATCTCAGCCATTGCTTGGTCATTTGCAATTTAGGTCTCCATACTGTAGATGTTATTGGTAACTACTTTGAGCACTTTTATGAGATGATAGAGTAAGCATTAAAAAAAGGAAAGCCTTTCCTTTCCCGCTAGTTGGCTACATGTGCAACCTGTTCCCGTTTCAATAGGGATGTGGAAGGTCCTGAACCTTGCCATACTCTTCTCCTCAGCCCATTCATCCAGGCACTTTTATTTGTATTTAATATGCTTTCCATCATATACCTCAAGAGAAGAACAGAGGTAGCAAGTGGTCACCAGTGACTAAGTATCAACAACTGCTGATTTCAAAGGCCTTTGGTACCTGAAATATTCATATCACACTCCTATTTCCCAGAATATGGCTTATGCTGGAGCTGAAAAGGAAAGAGAGAGCAGAGCTTTTTTTTACTGCTGAAATAAGACCCCCACCTGGTATCTGCTAAATATATGAATCAAACTAACACAAGGTATTTTGCTGCCTGAGACAGTGTAGCAAATGTCTGTTTGTACCCTCACTTGTAAAAGGTACACAGTGCATAAAGCCATATTGGCAGAAAATCCCTCAAGAACTTCTCCTGGCAAAAAATAGAGTACAACTAATTAAATAACCAAGAATTTGCCATTTCTTCATGACACCCCAAATATGATGCCTCACTTCTACCAAATGATGGGGCTAGACCTGATGTGAACACAACAGATAAGTAAAATGCTTGCTCTGGTTTCAGGAAAGCACCACACTCTGGCATGCAACTCCACCTTTAAAACAAATATAACAAAGATATAATAACACTCCTTTTAACATACATCCATTTAAAACAGTTGACAAGGAACAAGAAGCTACATGTTTTATAACCCAAGAAGGTTTGAGTACAGGTACATTCTTTTAACCATACTTTTAGCACTGGTAAAAAGCAGCATAGTGTAGTGGTTTGAGTGTTGAACTACAATTCTGGAGACCAGATTTTGATTCTCCACTCCACAAGGAAACTCAATGAGTGACCTTGGGCAAGTCACACTCACTTAGCCCCAAAGGAATCCAATTATAAACTTCTTAGGAACACATCTTACCAGAGAAACCCTATGCCTTAGGGCAGGTATGGGTAAACCCAGGTCAAAGGGCCGCATGCAGCCCCTTGGGCTCTTTTCTTTGGCCCTCCTCTCTCTCACCATCCTAGCCTTTCTTCCTTCCTTCCCTGTTTACTTCCTCATTCCCTTCTTCCCTCCCTCTTTCTCTATCCCTCCCTTCTTCCTTCCCTTCCACCCTTTCATCCTACTTTCCCTTCCCTCTTTTCTCTCCCCTTCCCTCTCTTTCTTTCCACTTCCTTCCTTCCCTTTTGTCTTCCCTCCCTCCCTCCCTCCCTTCCCTTCCCTTCCCTTCCGCCCTTCCTTCTTTCCAACCATCCTTCTCTTCCTCCTTCTTCCTTCTCTTTTTCCTTCCTCCTTTCCATCTGCAGGATGTTTGGCTGGGAGAAGAGAAGGTAGAGAGAGAGGACATGAGAACCATGTTTCAAGATTTACAAGGGTGTCCCATTGAGGAGGAGGAGGCAGGGGGTGGGGGAGACTAACTTTCTGCTGCTCTAGAGACCAGGGAACAAGGGAACAATGGTTTCAAATGGCAGGGAAAGAGAGTCGATTGAAAACATTAGGAAGAGCCTGAGAGTAAGAGCTATTGGAGCATGGCATAGGTTGCCTTGGAGTGTGATGGAGTCTCCTCTGGAGGCTTTTCCATAGAGGCTGTCTATTGGGAGCGCTTTGATTGCACCTTCTTGCATGGCAGAAGGTTGGACCGGATGGTCTTTGGATGGCCCCTTCCAGCTCTAGGATTCTAGGATTTTATATCAGGAGTTGGCAATACAGGATCTAATGGATACACTTTTTATCTCCCATCCGCCATGCCATCCTGACCAAGGCCAACCCTTTTGGGATCCAAACGTTTCCCGTATTTCCTTCACTTTCTGCCTCTGAAAGAGAATAGGAATGGGAGGAATGGTCAGGGAGGAAAGTTGAGGAGAACCCTCTCCCTCCCGACCTGCTCATCCTGCTCCAGTCCGCCATGCGGCTCCCAAGTTAGAAAGTTTGCCTATGCCTGCCTTAGGGTCATCTAAGATCAGACATGATGCACACAACAACAACAGCATTTCCCCACTATAATAGCAGAAAATACATGCAATACCTTAAGCAGGAAATTATACAAGAATGCTAACACAGGGACATACCATGTGCATCAGCATATAAATTATACAGATTTATGTATGCACAGAGCACAGAATTTTTTAAAAACAGGACAGACAGAGGGCCCTTCCACACAGCCATATAACCCAAGATATCAAGGCAGAAAATCCCACAATCTCTGCTTTGAATTGGGTTATCTGAGTCCACACTGTTATATATTCCAGTTCAAAGCAAATGATGTGTGATTTTATTCAAGTGTGTGAAAGGGGCCCTAGTGGATCGAAAACAGCAATGTGAATATAATTAATAGGAACCGCATTAAGCAGGGAGGTATATTAGACACAATGTTTCGGAAGAAAGTTTACGAAAAAAGAAAGCTCTTTGGCAAGGAGATGGAGTGACAGCATCCCCGTTTGCCATAAATGTGAATGTTTTGCTGTATATGTATGTGTTCTGTGATCTGCCCAGATTCTCCTTCGAGGTGAGAAGGGCAGAATATAAGTACTGTAAATAATAATGATATTTATATTCATGCTCCAGTAAGTAGAGATGAGGTGAAAAAATTCTCCCCTTTCAAACACTTGAGGCCACCAAGGAATTCCTTAGCACAAATCTGATGCATAAAAGTTAGTACAGAAAAGGTTGCCAGAATAGAATTGCACATCCATATCTTCATTTACAGTGGCTGTAAGTGAAGTATGAAACTTCAGTTGAGTCAGATGGAGAACAAAGCTCATAATGAAAGTTTTTTATGATAGCGGCCATTCATCACAAGAAGCAATGTGACAAGGAAGGACGAAGAGCCCTAGAAACTATTAAGGAAATTCATATTTCTTGTAATTCCCTATCAGAATGGTTTCCTGTCAGAGACATATACCTCAGTAATCAGACTTGAGAGTTAGACCTTTATCTACTTCCTCTGACAAACTACAAACAGAGCAACTTAAATGAAAGATACATAGTTGAAGACACTCACATGCTGTGACGAACAAGACATCTTTCCCCATTTGAGGAAGTATTTCTTCTGGAGACGTGCTAAGCTTATCAGAGCTGAGACTATTAGAATTCAGGTTAGCAGGGCATGACTGAAAATCCACGCACATCCTGTCCACATCTAATCTTAACAACTAGAATTGCCTGAAGAAGATAGATCTATACTGTTTCCCCAGCATACTGCCATTTACCAAAGGCAATGACCTCTGAACTATTTATTTACTTTTCAGCAATGCAAAGCAAATAGTATGATGCTTGACATTACTCCATGACTGCGAGGCAAATTACCTGAAGTGCATAACTCTTGACTATGCATTATTGCAAGGTTATATTATCTTATGAGTAGCAGAAACAGCATGTATAGCATCCACCTTCCATCATGATAGTCTTCAAGTACATAACTGCAGGTAGCCCCCAGGTTATGAACAAGATAGGGTCTGTAGGCTTGCTCTTAAATTAAATTTGTTTGTAAATCGGAACAAGTAAATTTTAAATATTTTTTTTTTTTTAGTTTTGATTATACACTAAGGTAAAGGTTTTCCCCTGACATTAAGTCCAGTCGTGTTTGACTCTGGGGGTTGGTGCTCATCTTCATTTCTAAGCCGAAGAGCCAGCGTTGTCTGTAGACAACTCCAAAGTTATGCGGCCAGCATGACTGCATGGAGTGTTGTTACCTTCCCGCCGGAGCAGTACCTATTGATCTACTCATATTTGCATGTTCTTGAACTGCTAGGTTGACAGGAGCTGGGGCTGATAGCAGAAGCTCACCCCGCTCCCCGGATTCGAACCTGTGACCTCTCGGTCAACAAGTTTAGCACCACCGGGGGCTCCCTATGTAGCAAAATTGCAAAAACATGTTCCTGGTTGGAAAGTGTTATTTCCTGTTTAATTGTGCAGTACTTACTTTGAAAGTAGTTGTTAAACTCCAGAAACTTTGTTTTTGTGGCTGCCACAAACGATACTGAATTAGTTGAGACTCTATGAGATATTTATTGAAACATTGTAGCAAAATGTGCTTCATTTTAACTAATGCTATCCTACCGAACCATGATAATTTAAGCTTATTATAATCATTCAATTCTTTTGTTGCATCAGCACTACTGAGTGCTGGTCTGCTTCTGGGCAGAATTCAAAGTGTCACTTATGATCTATAAAGCTATGCACGGCTTGGGTTCAAGCAATTTAAAAAACAGTGGCAAGAAATCAGGTTAGAAAATCCACACACATACACGTTCCTTTATGTGCAGATCTGAGTTTTGCAGCACTGCATGGGTTGGTATTCATGTCATCTCTGTGTAGCACCCAAAGCCCTTCTCCTGATGGCCAGGATTGGAGAATCAATTGGCAATCTTACACAAACACACAATGATTACAAAAGTGTTGAGAACTCTACAGGACCTCTGAGAATCTCAGCACTGATGTAATCTTTGTACATCTAGTACAAGGGTGGTAACTAGATCGTTCTCAATACTGTCTGCTGGTGTTAACGCTTATATGAGGCAACTTTGGGGCTTTAAGATGGGCTGAGGAAGGTTGTATATGTGCCAACATACCATAACGTCTGCTCTGTGTGTGTGGAGGGTGAAGTGAGCCTAGTATCTGCCTGTATGCACCTGGTCATTTAGTAAAGAGATGGGAGAGCCTTTTTTTGTTAGCTCCTCGGCCAAAGAATTCTCTTCTATGGGAGGCAATCTGGCTGCCTTCTCTTCTCTCAGTTTCCCAGAAAGCAAAGACCTTTCAACCAGACCTTTTGCTTTTAACTCATTCTATAAGGTGGGTCTTTAAACAGGATGTATTGTGTTTTAATCTTCCATGTTTGAAATGTGTGTTGAACTTTCGGAACAACTTAATTTGTGAAGACATTCCAAATGTACAAAGCTAACAGCCCTTTGGGTATAATGTGAGAGTTAATTTATACTTTTTTGGGATGCCCCACTTCCTTGGCCATTGAGGAATCCAGAGACAATAGCAAAGGGTCTTGTGTTTATTGTATTAAAATATTAAACCCAACAGATCATATTAGAAACAGCATTGGAAGGTTGATACTACATTAGACTCCCAGAATTGGATAATTCAGATGGAGAGGAGGAGGCAGTTGCCAGGGAATTCATTTATTTATTTATTTCGGTTACTTCTACCCCGCCCTTCTCACGCCGGAGGGGACTCAGGGAGGCTTACAAAGGCACAATTTGATGCCGACATCACATAA